TTCCCTGGGTCCTATGTTGTACTATGTTGGTCCTACTTTCCCTTTGTACTATGTTCCCTGGGTCCTATGTTGTACTATGTTGGTCCTACTTTCCCTCTGTACTATGTTCCCTGGGTCCTATGTTGTACTATGTTGGTCCTACTTTCCCTCTGTACTATGTTCACTGGGTCCTATGTTGTACTATGTTGGTCCTACTTTCCCTCTGTACTATGTTCCCTGGGTCCTATGTTGTACTATGTTGGTCCTACTTTCCCTCTGTACTATGTTCCCTGGGTCCTATGTTGTACTATGTTGGTCCTACTTTCCCTCTGTACTATGTTCCCTGGGTACTATGTTCCCTCTGTACTATGTTCACTGGGTCCTATGTTATACTATGTTGGTCCTACGTTCCCTCTATACTATGTTCACTGGGTACTATGTTCCCTCTGTACTATGTTCACTGGGTCCTATGTTGTACTATGTTGGTCCTACGTTCCCTCTGTACTATGTTCACTGGGTACTATGTTCCCTCTGTACTATGTTCCCTGGGTACTATGTTCCCTCTGTACTATGTTCCGATGGTCCTATGTTTTCATTGTTCTATTTTCATGGGTACTATGTTCCCAATGTCGTGTGTTCCTTGGGATATGTTTCAAGGGTCCTATGTTACTTGGGCCCTATGGTCCCATAATCCCATGTTCCCAATGTCCAATGTTCCCACTGTGTTCCCAGAATCCTACGTTCCTAGTTCCTTGTGTTCACAAAGTCCTATGCTCCCATAGGTCGATGTTTCTGTGCATGTTCACAATCTCCTGTGTTTCCAAAAGGTTTCCTGGACGTTCTCATTGTCCTGCAGCTGCCTAAACTGGAACCGTGACATTTCAAACGGTCTGGTTTCCTTTCCGGCGCGTACCTGACGTTCAGGTTCGCTCTCCAGTCTTTCCGTACCCCTGAACGCCTGGTTGGGAACCACTGCACTCTTCTGTAATCTGAATGCAGCATTCTGAGCCAATCTGGACTCAAACTGTAAATTCCTCCCTGTGCGCGGTGTGTGCGCGGCCGTCGTGTCGTGCGTTGTGCGTCTGTGAGGACCGTGCACACTCTGTACTCCACGCCACGCATTTCTCTCTTTGGATTATCGTTATGCTGAAGGAGCACCGTGTATTATATTAATACTAATGTGTGACTACTTGTGTGGTAATATTTATAACAGAGGATCTGTTGTTAAAATTAAATCAAAGTACTGCGTTTGTGCTTTTATTACAGACACAAATTAGTAGCGTAATCAGTGTTTATCTGCAGAGCATTTACATGAGAGGATAAACCCACAGATGAATGCTTAACCATGTTAGAATATTCATGTTTACATATGTAACGGTACATCTCAAATAAAACATTTGATTTGAAACTTTACCTGCAGTTTATTTACTTCCCACGATGTGTGAGTCTTGTTTCCAATCTTATGTTTAACAACAATCACATCATACAGACTTTAGGACCGATAGAAAAGTGCAGAAAGACGTCCAGCTTTCCTTTCAGATTTAATTATGTTGAGGCTCATTAAAAACATGCACGTTATTTAGATGGACGTCATGAGTGTTGGAAAAAGTATTCAGACGTTTCACTGCAGTAAAATTCATAATATCACATAGTGAAAACATTCCAGTATGAGTAAATACCTGCAAAACCACACTGAAGTCAAAATATCACTTGATGAGTAAATGTTTCTGGATTAGTATCCCTTGCTGCATGAATGTGTATCTTGCATTTTGACTCCTTTTATATCCTGTTTAATCTACACCAATACATAGAAGATTATGGTTTGTAGCGTCGCTGTCTTGGAGACAATGGGCTCCTCCACCGATGTCACCGGTGTCTCTTTGTGGTTGTTGGTGTCTCTTTGTGGTTGTTGGTGTCCCTTTGTGGTTGTTAGGTGTCTCTTTGTGGTTGTTAGGTGTCTCTTTGTGGTTGTTGGTGTCTCTTTGTGGTTGTTAGTTATCTCTTGTGTAAGTTGTTGTTTTGTATCTTTGCAGATGTTTTCTGTCTTTTTTTAGCCTCTTTTTCTAGTCCTTTCATGTCTTTCTGTTGTGGATTTGAGTCTCTGAGGTAGTTATGCTCCTCATAGTCAGTGTGAGTCTCTGTGTGGTCTCTTTGCAGCGGCTTTGCGTGTCTTTGTAGTCCATGTCTGTATTTATTTTATGTCTCTCTGTGTAGTTTTGGCATTTCTCTCTGTCTCTGTTATTTAAGTCTCTCTCAGGTTCTTTAGCCTGTCTTCATCGTCATTGAAAACCTGAAAGAAACTAAAACTGTCAGAAGAATGTAGTAGTAGTAGTAGTAGTAAAAAGTACAATATTTAGATGAAGTGGAGGGGAAGCACAGTAACAAGGAAAAAGTAAAGTACCTCCAACGTGTATACACATAAGTGCAGTACTAGAGGCACTTTCCACCACTGGTCCTATAACAAAGTAACACGAGGGGCTGCAGGTTTTTTCGGGGTGGAGGACGCACAGCGAGGAGGCCGCGTGGCCTTCAGGGACACTTGCTCATGCACATGAGCAGCTCCAGCCTCATGGCGATGCGGGTGTGCCAGCCCAGCGGCAGCAGGCGGACATACCGGGCCACGATGGGGGGGCGCAGCAGGTTCTGCACCGTGGACGAGCGGTCCGAGTTCCCGTAGAAGACCTGGCGAGGTGAGAGTTTGAAAAAGGTATTCAGTGAATCACTTTGTCACCTCCTCCCCGTCGCACTTCGTAGTGCTCTCACCCGGTTGTTTCCTGTCTGGTCTTTGTAGTAGATCCAGTTGAGCGTCTCCACCGCGCGGTACTGGATGCTGTATTTAGTGATCCACTCGTCGGCGTCGCAGCGGCCCTGCGTGAGGATGCCGGACACCACGGCCACCTCCTTCAGGTCGATCTGGATCCACTGATGCAGGTCGTTGAACTTGGAGAGCCACGCGCACCTAACAACAACAACAACAACAACAACAACCAACACATGTGGCTTTCTTTACTGGCTCACGGCGGCGAGAAGAGTGAAAGCCCGCAGCGGGTCGTTGGGGCTCACCCGAAGCCTTGGTTGTTGAGGCGAGCCTTGGAGGGGGTCCAGGAGGAGTACCAGCCGACGTACTGGTCCTGACTGGTGCAGCTGATCTGGTCCGACTCCACCGATCCGGATTCAAAGCCCAACGCTCTGTGGTAAGGACATTCTGTGGAGGACGTCAACGGTATTCTCAGATGCAGTTTTCTGGACCAGAAAGAACACGTCACCCATGAAACAACCATCTGGATATCAGTTACTTTCCCTGGTTTGTCTCCAACTCTCGAAGGAAGCTTTTCCCAAATGCTCCACGGTGTACAAAGAATTCAAAGGAAACAAAGTCAATGGGACTTGCTTTTAAAAACAAAACTACATTGAAACATCTGTTTACAAACCGTCCCACAGTTCTGATCTTGCCTGATGGCGTGATAAGGAGGAGATAAGGTGATAAGGAGGAGGAAGCCGTCTGATCTGTGCTGCTCTGTCCCGTGTATCGGGCCGATAAGTGAAGGGCACTAACTATTTTGGGCTGACTAATCTGATCATCACATTCCTGTACAGGTGATGAGATTATCTCCAACCATTCGCTGGTCCAGGCCTCGTTCTCACAGCTGTGTCTATCCTACGTCTACGGAAGTTGCTCTAACTGGTCATGAAGGAGTCTCATTGGAGTCCTGAGTCTCACTATGATCCAAGACCATCGGTGAGAAGATTCTGTATTTGTAGTTTTTCTTAATGCTCATTATCGGTGCCATTGGGTCCAGATGACATCATGCTGGTTCACCAGAACCTCCTTCAGCTCAGAATCCACCGGTTCTTCCAGCATGGACAGACCCAGATCCTCCACAGAGACGGGTCCACCGTGGAATGACCAGATCCTCCACAAAGACGGGTCCACCGTGGAATGACCAGATCCTCCACAGAGACGGGTCGACCGAGGACAGACCCAGATCTTCCACAGAGACGGGTCCACCGTGGAATGACCAGATCCTCCACAGTGATGGGTCGACCGAGGACAGACCCAGATCCTCCACAGAGACCAGTCCACTGCGGACAGACCAGATCCTCCAGCAGAGACCAGTCCACTGTGGACAGACCCAGATCCGGCTTCACCCTAGCCTTGAATCTGCAGTTGGAAGTCCAGAAAGAAGCTCATCTCCCAGCACCACCGTCACTTCCTTTTCCTCCAGGAGCTTCTCCTCTCTAGAGACCCAGGAAGTAGTGCTGGACCCGCTGTAGGGAAGGGAGACCCGGGAGAACCAGAACTAGGACCGAGAGGGGCAGACTCTCAAACTCTACTGCAGTAGAATAAGAAGTTTTCTGAAAGAACCCTGTTGAGTAGAGACACTACCACTTTAATCCACATGGGGCGCCAGACTCAGCACCAGATGTTCATTGTTCTAACTTTAGAGTTGAAGGTTATCGAGGTCTTTGCAGAAGGTGATTCTCGGCCCACTGCAGAGATTTAGAAACTGAGCGTAGATTGAGAGCACACAAGGACAAAGTCAGCCTCCATCGCCGCAGCTGGAGCTCCGAGTGGACGTCCGACCTCCTCGCGTGTGCAACGGACTACGGGTGAAACCAGGTCACGTGACCTATCGGAGGGGGGCCTCACCTGGCATGCAGTGGAGCGGGTGGCCCTGAAGCGGCACTGGTGGCGTCGGCGTCAGGAAGGTGGTTTGGGCGGTAGGTGGACCGGCGGACTCACAGTCACAGGTGCAAGCCTTGAAGGTTGATGTCAACGTCTCCGTCTCCTGCTGGTCCTCCTCCTGCAGTTCCTCCACCTGCACGCCCTCCTCCTCCTCCTGAAGGACGCACACACACACACACACACACACACACACACACACACGCACACGCGTTAATCCAGAGTTTCCCTCCGGTGGTTCATCGCGGGACTCTTACCTCTTGGGAGTGAACGGCCATCAGGGCTGTCGATGAAAGCGGAGAAGCAGAAAAGCAGATTTTATTACACAAGAAACTCATGAAGAAATAAACTCAAATCAACGCTCATTAACGAAATTAATTCACGCGTCGTTGGCAGGCTTTTTTAAAGCTACCACCATGTCTAATTATTCCACACATTTTCTGTAAATGTGACAAAGAGAAACTCCAATGAAGCTTTGATACAAAACATGACTTTCAAGAAATTGATTTTGTGGTCAGACGATATTCTGGCTCTCCGGCCACCATGATTACAAAAAAGCCACTGTAGACTTCAAACTGTTTTTGTTTTTTAAGGCAGTATGATTTAATAAAGTCGCTGGTGCGGGGGCAGCGTGACTTACCCTGAGATAGAAGCAGGAGGAAGAGCACAGCAGCACACCGAGCAGTGACCTCCATCTTCCTCCTCAGCAGTGCTGGAATGTGACGAGTGTGTTCGATGCCCGGCGGGGCAGTGGATGGGATTACTGTAATCCACAGGCCGTGATGGCCTTATCTGACGCTGTTTCTCAGCCCTTAGACACCTCCCCAGGGCTCCTCTGTTGTGCTGCACCTGTCCTGAGCCGGAGGACCGTGATCATTTTTTATTCTATTTCTCACCCGTCGACGCGACCGTGAGCATTTAGAGGGGACAGAATTGGAATATGATGTTTCCATGAAGGAATGTTTTTTCTTGAAGATGATTTGTAGGTTAGAGTTTAATGTGAAACAAGAAACACTGGCTCAGGAGAGAGAAGTCCCATCCTCCAATTCTGTGTTGAAGGTGCATTCTCCGCAGTGACCAGCAGGGGGCGACTCCTCTGATCCCATAGACGTCTATCAGAAAATGACTCTTTCATCTTTTTCACTCTTCTCTCTTGATTTATTCCCTCAGTAAACATGTAAACATGTGTTTATGGTCTCAGTCTCTAGTTTCAAGTCTTCTTCAACACAACATGATGTTCATTTAGTCAATTATGGTCCATTAAGAGTCAAACAGACCATATAGACTTTATTTTATTACTCGTGCACTGTTGTCTTGTCTGTCTACTGTCGCGCACTAATCGCCAAGACAAATTCCTTGTATGTTTGACATATTTTGGCTAATAAATGTTTCCTGATTCCTGATTCCTGATAGCAGGGGAGGCTTTAGGGCGGGGCTTAATGGGATTGACAGGTCTGTACTATGGCATTGTCTGTCTGTCTGTCTTTCAACTTTAAGTTATAAGCTTGTCATTGTGTTTTTGTTAGTGAAACATTATTGTGACATTTTGGTTATTCCTCCATTAATTGTCCTTTGCTCCACCCTCAAAAGTCACTTCTGTCTTTTAAAAAAACAAGTGGCAACAAAGGAAGACCAATATTATAATTTTAGACTGTTATAGTTGTGACAAAGCCCAAATTGTCAACAGAAGAGTTTATCCATTAGCTGCGATGAAATCTATTGATCAGGTAATGAGTGCGTATGCGAGCAATGACACCCCGAATGTCACCTTCAGGACTTAAATGTTGTATGCAGGCTAAATACGTTCTATAGTTTTTTTGTTAAAATGTTTTTATGACCCTGTTATAGTTGCAACAGTCTTAACTAAAACAATGGAACTTGTTGATTCTAATAATTTACAACTGACCCTGTATCCTTTATTTATTTATTTGAATGCTTTTTAATTATTATGAAGTTTTAAATAACATTGCCCCTCCTTACATCAGATATGGTTGTGCAGTAATTTTATAAACTTTATTTAAAAGCTGCAATCAGCAATTTGACTGATGTGTATTAAGTTAAATTAATCTAATCTAAATTAAATTAATCTGTTAAGATTTTAATGTTTTACTGTGTATTTCCCTATTAACACAATATAATTATTATTGTTTATATTGCTTATTTGTGTAAATAATAATTGAAGGAATACATCTAGTTGAAGTCCCCTGTGATTTAAACCGCTGATACACTCTGGTGATGACGTATGGATCTGGTTTGATTGACGTAAATAGCAGCCAATCGCATCCACAATATCGAGTAAAAGCTGTGGAGGGGGCGGGTCTTGTTGGTGACTGCACAAGCCAATGACCGACGGCGTTGTATCTTCATCGGCCAATCAGGAGCGTGGTGCCGACCGGCCGCGTCTGCTCCGGGGTGGCGGCGTGGGTCCATTCCTTCGGAGGGGGGCAGCCGGTTGCTGTTGGGATTCAAGGTAAGTCCTGTTCAGTGTGTATTATTACCCCGTTATTGTTTTAAAAAGTACGTTTCCGCTTCGGTATGTCGTATCTGCTATAGCTTGAGATGCTAATGCTAACCGCTGAATAACTGTGCTTCCGTTAGCTTGTGTTGATACGCGCGGCTGTTTAGTTGTTTATAAATTGTTCTTTATTTCTATACTCGTTAAAAAAAAAGATGTCTGAATTCAAACGCGTCGTTAACTGATGTTGATGTGAAACACGTGGAAGCATCTTAACAACTAACTGCTGTTGACATTATTTAATATCTAATAATTAGCCACCCTGGTTTTATTTTTTTCTTACTTTAATTGACTTGATTAAAGGTAACTAACCCTTGATCATTTCTTGAAATCTAGTTTATTTTAATTGCATTGTCCTACATCACAAATCAGGAATTTGCCTGAGAAGGACAAGTTTAGATCTGGAATGAAAAAGGAAGAGCCGTTATTACAATGACTGAGAAAGTAATTGTTTTAAAAAATGTATTGAAGTATTACTTGGGGAAGATGGGCTTCAATTAAGAAAACAATGTTATCAAAAATATTATTAATCACAAATATTATTCAGCACAATCCTCTATTCACATGTCGAGGTGAACTATTGAATTGTAATATATATATATATATATATATATATATATATATATATATATATATATATTCGGGTGGCTGTAGATGGAGTGAGGACTCCAGTCTCTTCGCTATATGGAGGATGTTCAATCTGAATCGTGACCTATCGACCTCGTCAAAATGATCCCTCTGCTCGCACGTCTTGACCTCGGCGTCTCACCGTCTCGCCGTCTCGTTGCAGATGCAGTTCATGCTTCTGTTCAGTCGACAGGGGAAGCTGCGGCTTCAGAAGTGGTACGTGCCGCTGTCCGACAAGGAGAAGAAGAAGATCACCAGGGAGTTGGTGCAGACGGTCCTCGCTCGAAAGCCCAAAATGTGCAGCTTTCTGGAGTGGAGAGACCTGAAGGTTGTGTACAAGAGGTGGGTGGATGGGCCTTTGCGTTTGTTCCCAGCCCTCTGTTGCTTACAACAGCATTGACATAAAATATTATATTGTTTGTAAGATAAATTAAGAAACTTGCGTTTTATTCGGTTCTCTTGTGAACGTATGTTGAAAAATCATAAAGTCAACTGTAAAAAACTATTTCCTGTTTTCATCAGCTTGAATACGCAGCACTGCGTCATTAAATACCGTAGATTTAATAAAACTACTTTGAAAGACACAAACTCGATTAGATTAATTTGATCAATTCATTCCGATTGTTTTTAGGGTGACGAGGTCATAAAAGACGAGATATTTCAAGCTTCACTTGAAAATGGAAGCTGTGTTTTCTTCATTAAAACCTAAATGTAGCTCAGAGTGTTAATAAAATAATATCTCTGCTGACGGAGACGTCAAAGAAAGAGCTGAAATCTCCGCGAGAACACGATTCAATATTGACTGAGAGGTTGTGAGACATGAAGAGAAATATATATATATATATAATGAGGAAGAGATGATATTCCCCGCAAACAACGTGGAAGTAGTTATGATCACCGTCAGGGCTGAAACTGTATATATTGTTATTTTCATTGAGTATTCTCTCCCTGATGATTATTGATGATACATTTTGTCTGTGAAATGACGGAAAATAGTGAAACATTTATTTAATTTCTTCTTACAGTTTAAGGCAACGTTCTTAAAAATCTTGTTTTATTTACAGTTCGGAGCCCAGAAAGTTTTTTTGATCAAATATGATGGGGGGCTTGAAAAATAATGAATGGGCTACATTTAAATCTGAGTTTAGGCTCTGGGGTTGTTGACAACTTGCCCCGTGTGACCTCGGACTCCCGCTTTCGTTTCCTTCAAATACCCTCTTGTGATATTTGTTCATATCTGAAACCCCGTCGATGTCTTGGTCCTTTGCGATGTTTCTCCTGTGGATGAACAGTCCGCCAGTTGGTTTGTGTTGGGTTGGTATTCACCGTGTCGTATTTGGTGTACGAGTGTGCCGTCCTGGTCCGTTGTGGCCTCCTTCCACCGCGGCAGGTAGCGAGGGATCAACTGGCCGGCTGCTCTGCGAGCCAATCGAGTTCCTCTGGGATTATCGGGGATAAGGAGCCCGCGGCGGAGCGAGGCTCAACTCAGCTCGTCTGGCTCTGTGAATATACAACAGCAGAGGAGCCGACTCAGCTTATCTCCGCTGACTCCGCTGTTCTCCAGGAGATCACGTGACTCGGATCACATGCTCCGCTGACCACAACATGCCGTTTGTGACTTTTTCTTCATGGAGAACTGGAATTGCACAGGACCCCAAAAGGCCCCGAGCTGCCCGGAGGAGGCGTAAGCTGAGCTAGCCCAGTCAGGACCTACCCAGCATGCCCCTGGCTGTCTGATGCCCGGCCGCAGGCAAATAAGATGCCATGCTGGCGGCCAGCAGCGTCTGGGAGGCGCTGGGTCGCCCTCCTCCGATGGGCGCGTCCAGTCGTCTTCCCCAAGGTAATGAACAACAACAAGTTGTCTGTCCCTGTGTCCAGGTACGCCAGCCTGTACTTCTGCTGCGCCATCGAGCACCAGGACAACGAGCTCATCACGCTGGAGATCATCCACCGCTACGTGGAGCTGCTGGACAAATACTTCGGCAGCGTGCGTGTTCCCGCGCCGCCATCCTCTCCCGTTGAGCCTGCACTTTAGAAAGTAATCGTAGTTGCTGTTGTTTCAGGTCTGCGAGCTGGACATCATTTTCAACTTTGAAAAGGCATACTTCATCCTGGATGAGTTCCTGCTGGGCGGAGAACCTCAGGAGACGTCCAAGAAGACGGTGCTAAAGGCCATCGAGCAGGCGGACCTGCTGCAGGAGGTGAGAAGTATTGATATTGATCTTGATTGATCACCTTCTAAATCAATAATCCGCCCTCGCTCTGCCCCGTTACCGGCAGCTTTACAGACCGGAGAGATCAAGGGATGTAAAGTGAAATGAAGTGTGCAACATTCAGGCTCTCCTGAAGTCCTTTCAGAGGGTTTAACAATGGTAACCGATGGCAACCGCATGTACAGTTCAATACTTTTTAATCCAGAGGTCTTCAACAGGGGGTCCGCGACCCCCAAGGGGTCCGCGAAGGTACTGCAGGGGGGTCGCGAAAATTTTGGTTGATAAGACAATTTTTTTAAACATTTTTTTTCCCCACAAATGTAAATGTGTTCACAATCAGAATTTTATTTATGCTCTTTAAATACACATTAACATGAATCCAACGTATTGAAGCAAACAGATGAATTGATGGAGAAGACGTCATCTGTCAACACACACTCAGCTTCCCTCAGCAGCTCTCAAGATGGACACCGGTTCACTCACAGCTCCTTTCATGCGGATACGACCGCGCAGGCGCCGGCCAATCAGATCGCGTTCATGCTCACGTCCAAAGAGCGTGCAGCTCGAAAATAAAAGATGGCGGACCAAACTCCGTAGAACAGGGGGTCCCTGCTCCACCTCGCCATCAGTTTGGGGGACCTTGGCTTGCAAAACGTTGAAGACCTCTGTTTTAATCCATTCATCAATTCTTCCACCTGAGCCAGAAACCGCTTTGCAACTTTTTTTTTGGCCATTTCCAGTCGGTTTATTTTTTCATTCTCAGACAACATAACATTGGACGTGAGGAAAAGATGATTGCGTTAGCATAGCATAATGCGTTAGCATAGCAAAGCCCCGATTCATTCAGGAAGCAAGCACTTTCCAGTTGGCTTGTCGCTGCGCGGACCGACCCGGTTATATTTTGACTGTTTGACTGTTGAGTATTTTACGATAAAATCTGCGGATGTTAGAAACGCAAAGTTTGGCTTTGCCTTTGGCGTGAACTCTGCATTAAACATTTCCTGTGACAATAAGAGCCACCTGGTGTTTCTGCAGATAAATGCTTTTATTGTGAAAAGGTGTCAGCAGGACATGTTGGGTTTGAATTGTCAGTAAGTTCTTACAGAGAAATTAAAGTACATGAATTCAGTTTCCCTTCAAAAGTGACTTCTGCTTCATTTCTTGTGATTTTTGTTTCCATCGGCCGTTTGGTTTCCTGTTTTGATTGCAGCTGACATTTCTTTTCTCTCTGCCTCTGTCTTCTCTTGCTGTTGTGATTTGCAGAATGTAGACTTTCAGATGCGCCTGTTTGCAGGTACAGTTTGTGAAAGCCCTAATAACCCTCGCTGTAGCGTCGAGCATTAGTCGTAGACCCAACAGGAACTGCACATCAGCAACAGCAATACCTCCAGTGTCAGCGATGTGGAAGCTGCTGGTGTGGGCTCTATTCTTCCTGCCTAAAACCCTGATGTCTCTAACTCTCACTTAATCAATAACTCTTCAAACCGTTCTCGCTCCCAACTCGTCAAACATGGCTAACCCGGTCAGCGACCCCGACCTCCGAGTCCCGTCTCCTGGCCCAGAAATGGCCGTGGTACTTAAAGACAAGAAGGTGAAGCAATAATAATGAGCTCTTCTTCATGCTCGTCATCGGTGCCGCAGGGTCAGAAACACCTTTTTCACCCCTCCGTCTCTTCCTGGACCAAACCAGCTGGCAACATAAATGTCTGGTTCAAGATTAGGAAACAGCCAGACGCTGAGCTGACTTCAAAGCAACGGGTGACGTGTCTACTTCCATTTCGCACAAGCGGCTGTGCTGTAAAAGTTGATTCCTGCTTTGGAGGGTTTTTTTGGGGTTCGACTCGTTTGTGGAGCCTCGTGTGGCCAATCGGGGAACTGCGGTTTTCTGGCACCGAAGGTTTTTCCGTTTGCTCCCGACCATAAATGTCCACATGTGACGAGTTGTGGGTGAGAACGTGTCGTCCCCTGCAGCATATCTACAGTGTGAATGTTAATAGAAGTGCAAAGTTAACATCCAGTAGTTGACAGACTAATGTCTTGGCGTTGGAAAACAACCACGTCGTTCTACCTTTGACTGGTATTTATATGATTATGTTCTCGCGGTTCCACACATTCCTCCCAGTGCTCTCAGACGCACTCGACGGCTGAAGGGGAGGAGAGGTCGGGTAGCGGCCCCCGAAAACAAAGCCCCGTTGTCTGCATTCCTGAGACCACACCAGCACTTTATGACAGTAACAAAACGCACACTGCCGTCAGGGTCCATGTGTGCGTATTCAGAGGTCTGTACCGTGTTCTGGGAGAATTAACGAGACATCTGTTATATGTTCAGAGCAGCTATTTGAGCCATTGTTTGACGATAAAAGAAACCCACTGATCTGAAGCCCTCACGTTGTTTGCTGGAATTTGTGCTGGAATTTATTTTTTATTACATTACGTGTCACTTCGCTGACGTTTTTATCCAAAGCGACTTACAATAAGTGCATTTCAATCGTAAGGATACAAACTCAAGACAGAAAGAAAAGAAACAAGAAATTGCAATTTCCTTAAATAAGCTGATTTACAACTTGCTCCAGATTAGAGCCATTAGAAGAACAACTAAGTGCTACAATTTGTTAGTGTTTTACTCAGCGTTTAGTCAACGAGCCCAAAACGTTGCTGTTAATGAGTTCTGAGAAGCAAAATTAGGTCACTGCTGACAAACTGTTATCCTCTGAGCGGTGGAGAAAGACTGTTTACGCCAAAAACTAAACGCACTCTGAATATTGTCATTTGTGAGGAGACTCACTGAGGCACAATGTTGAAATATGAAAATGTGCTGCACTACAAACCGGAATGTATTTCAAATTGTATCCTACTTTTTTTTTATTTTGCGTATATCTAGAGGTGCATTTAGATCAGCTAAGTTTGGCCAAAGGTGTCCACAGGTGAAGTCCCGCCCCTTCTTGTTGGTCACCACACCACCTTTTTTCTGTCGCACAACGCAAGTTTGTTGATTTAAAGAACGATTTTGCAATCAGCCAAGTGCTCAACCCAGTTGCATTTTGCCGTAAAACTGTTAAAGTATAAAACTAGATTAGAAAGGCAACACATAGATGAACAAGGTCTCACTCCTTTTTATTCTCGCCTGATAAAAACAAATCAGATTAAATAACTACATTAAGACCAGACGGCGTGTGTTAAAGCTGCATTCTCTGTAGTGACCAGCAGGGGGCGACTCCTCTGGTCCCATAGACGTCTATGAGAAAATGATTCCACTTCTCTCTTGATTTATTCCCTCAGTAAACATTGTAAACATGAGTTTATGGTCTCAGTCTCTAGTGTCAAGTCTTCTTCATTACAGCATGGTGAGGAAATTTAGGCATTTAGGAAATAATGGTCCATTTAGAGTCAGAACGAGAAACAACTGAATATTTTATCTCAACTATTCATATCGGCAGAATTAGCACTTTATTAGTTTATATTTGGCTGTTATGAAATGTAGTGCAAGTTTCCCCCCCCCCCCCTCCCCGCCCTCCTGTTTGTAAAGGTCTTCTGGGTTCCAACAGGCATGGATGTTTAGAAGTAACACATCTGGTCACATCCTGTTCCTCTAATAGGCGCTAAAATCCTGCACCTAAAACTGATCAGAATCTGTCATTTTCATAGATGCCAATTTAAATTGTGAATATTATTCCGTTATTATAAGTGAAAAAGATATTCTGCCTGTTTGAAGACAAACCCAAAGAGTTTTACTAACTTTGTTGTACTAATAATACTCATTCTGCAGGTTTTTCTACGTCAGGTTTTTTAACCCCGAAATAACCATTTTAATCAATAATCTTCTAATACGAAGAGTTTTCTTCTATTCTCAACAAAGCCTGTGAAAACACTCCTAAATCCTCGTCATATTTCTGAATCCATCACTGCTCTTTACCTGTCTGAGAGGTGAGCACACCAGACTCCATTCACACAAACACTGACCGCCTCCATCGGTTAGTTATTGTTTGACTTTGGTCAATCTGAACTAACTTTAAAACATCACATGAGTTTATTGCCGGCTTCTCTCCTTTTCCCAGGACTTGTTGAGAAAAATTAAATCAACTAAAACCAAAATAAAAGAGGTGCAGCATTTGGAGGAGCAGCCTCTGGTTTCAGTAATTAATAAATAGGTGGAAAACACACCACGGGGGAGACACGCCATGCTATTATAATAAGCCTTTAATGAAACACTCCTCAGGAGCTGCCAGCAGGCAGAGCCTTTTTTGGGGTTTGCAGCTCGCCGCCTTTTATTGTGGCGGTGCGACGTTGACGTGTGTGAAGGTTCCTAAGAGCCTCTTTGTTCTGTTTGTTTGTGTCCTTATACACGTCTTTGCCTCACAGGTGTGATGGTCCCAAATATGGTCTCTGAGTCCTCTGGTCTTTTCCAGAATTAGGATGCCGAGGTGAATACTGTGTATGTGTGCGTGTGTGTGTGTGTGTGGATTCAAGCCGTCCCTCTAGGTCCAGCTGGTTAAGACCTGGTCGAAGGTCTAGTTAGTCCCCCCTCAGCCAGTTTGTATGGAAAACAGTGTTTCAGTGTCGTTTGTCTCTGTTCTCTATGTTTATGTCCCATCTCGTCGACGCTGTCCTCTCACATGGTTTTATAGTGCTGCACATCTGAGGAAACTATTTAACTAGTGTTTCCATATCTGTTAGTAACACGTTCTCACCCTCCCACTCATAATGAAATGTATTTGCTTTTGAGGGGAGTTTTTCATTTCCTTTTAAAGGACCAGAGTCTGGGATTTAAGAGAAGAATTTAACAGGGTGCAGAAATAGAATTAGCTCTGAAACAACAGAACAATTAAAGTGATTAAAACCACATTCAGTTGGTTGCATTCTGTATCCTCGCCGCTAGGTTGAGTTAATTCCTACACACTGTCCGTAAGATAGACTTCAGCATGCATGCAAGTGGTGTCTATCTATCTATGCTAAGCTAACCAACCATATTTGCTAGACAGGCATGAGAATGGTATCGCGCTCCGGATCTAAAACGTGACACCGGCCTGCTGCGTGTCCCGTGGATGAGGCGCATGTGTGCGTCCGCTGTGACTCCCATGTTTTGCTCACCTGTGTGCGTTTCTCTCCCCATGCAGCCCCGTCATGAGTACTTTAACGTGCCTGTGTACTGATTGGCTGCCGCCGCCGCCGCTACCGTCTCTGCATGCTGAGCTCCACAGGCACCTTTTCCATCCGAGCACTCGCCGCTGTGATCGGTTCACGAGTAAATGTGTGACTACAATTGTCGCAGCAGTAAATTGACAATCGACAGTCATTGCTAAACATTAAGACTGGCCCAGGTAGACCAACGTCTGTCACTGAGGGTTTAAAATCCATTGAACCAGAAATTGTTGTTTAGTGTGTTAATTTGATGACATGTAATAATATATATTGTGGCGACATTGTCACATGCAGGTCATTCGTACATTGGCTTTGTCGTAAAATGATTCCGGAACCATCAATCGATGGAAATAAAGTTCTGTATTTCAGGGTGCGCCAATCCGAGACCAAGTGGGACGGTTCACGTTTTCACTATTAGTAAAACAAAACATCACAGCGGTCTGATGACGTTATTCTGCAGGATAAGCGTAACAAGGCCAATTGTTTTTTGGCTGATTGGCAGCTGAAAAGCGGGCCTTTAAAATATGGTTTCAAATTCATTTTTAAATCAAGGTTTACTCACTAGATCCCATATCAAATGTTCCACCACTTGGCCTTCATTGGCGAAGAAAGGTATAACGTTAGCTGAAAACTGTTTGAGGTTTTAAGATGATTTTTTTTCAAAGGTGAAGAATACAATTTTTTTCCTCAACAAAACTATGACAATCTGTTAAATAGCTGATATACTAATTAAAGGAACACATTTAAAACTTGAGAAATCTTATAATTTTAGTTACTTAGATGTTGTGCGTCATTGTATCACCTGTTTGAAGCCACATTGGTTAGCAACATTCTTTAGTAACTGTTTTAAATTTACATTTTAATAAGGAAAAGGATTTTAGTCATCAGAGAAACAAGTTGAGCTAACGCTAGCATCAGACGTCTGGATCTCAAGTTAACTGAGAAACAAGCTGAGCTAACGTTAGCATCAGATGTCTGGATCTAAAGTTAACTGAGAAACAAGCTGAGCTAACGCAAGCATCTGACGTCTGGATCTCAAGTTAACTGAAAAACAAGTTGAGCTAACGTTAGCATCTGACGTCTGGACCTCAAGTTAACTGAGAAACAAGTTGAGCTAACGTTAGCATCTGACGTCTGGACCTCAAGTTAACTGAGAAACAAGTTGAGCTAACGTTAGCATCTGACGTCTGGACCTCAAGTTAACTGAGAAACGAGCTGAGCTAACGTTAGCATCTGACGTCTGGACCTCAAGTTACCTGAGGAAAGAGCTGCGCTAACGTTAGCATCAGACGTCTGGAAGTGGCCTGAGAATCAAGCCGAGCTAACGTTAGCATCAGCTCTGTTTTACATTTCATATTTCTGGTGGTTCCCTCATTGCTCTTGTTTCAGTATGTGATTCTGTAATAGTTCTGTTTGAAGTATTTGATTGTAGGTTTGGTCCTTGAAGTGAGTTGTTTTTTAATCTGATTAAACTCTCGTTAAAATTAATAGACCACATAGTTTTTGTATTATGTAATTATTATTGAAATATTTTAGATAATCTGTAGTCCCGGATTACTTTCCATTTATAAAATAGCACAATGTTAAGGTAATTTGTATTAGCATTATCATTCGGATTAATCTCACTAACTATGCAGTGATTACGCGAGGGCTCTTCTGGTTTAAATGCTAATAGACATTTTACCACACATGAAATCAATAGCCTGAAAAGTTCTTTATTTTGCATTTATGAACAGTGTCAAAGCTCTTTAAATGTTCTGTAATACCTGTTGATATTCATCTGTGCCCTCAGAAAACCAGACAGTCATGGTCAATTTAAGATATTTGTATGGATAGATTCTTAATAAATGTTCTGATTCTTTATCAATTAAGCCCACTGGTGTCTCTTTAATACAGCTGCTGATTGGTGGGGGGCTTCTTCTCCACAACAAACCTGATGTGTAACTCAGAGAGTGAGGCGAAAAATAATTGTTTACGTTTTTAATATTTGGACCAAACATTATTTGCTCTGAAAACAAACGAAAAGGTATTTTTTTCTTTTCTCTTCTTCTAACAGAAGCGTTTGTTTTTTTGTTATCTGACACAACTCCTCTCTTTACTTTGTGCTGAACGTCGTTTCAGGACAAAACCAAAGTAAGTTATTCTCTTTCTTGCCTGCCAGCATAGATTATGTCTTGATAACGTTAACGATGGCTGCATTCCATTTAGCTGACCTGGTTCCATGGTTGTGTTATTCTGCATGCTCGCGCTCTCTGACTCAATGACGGATGTAAGCATCATTGTTTTTAACATTTACCTCTGTTTTTGATAGAGATGCTTTCGTGACCTTAAACACATTTTCCATCCATTGTTTTAATTTGTTGTTTGTGCCTACATAAATATATACACGATTTTGATTAACTCAGCTTAAACAACTAATCGAACCATCAAAAGTAATTCATGATGAATTTTGGTGGTGAACTTTGTATTGGGTCCTTATAAAGCAGTGATTCTCAACTCGCGGACCCGTTTTTAATGTGTCGCGGGCCTTTGCCTGGGAAAATAAAAATTAGAATTAACAGCTCGCTGTTTTGTTTTTTCACTAAACTTGTTTTTGTGTTGGCATACGTATTCTATCTCAGGTTCAAACTGCACTATATTTTCATTAAATAAATTTGAGAAGTTGAGAATGTTCCTCGATTTGGGTCGTGGGTTGTCATTAAGGGGTGATGGTGGGTCCCGGAGCCGGACCAGCTGAGAATCACTGTTATAAAGAGTAACGCCTTTCATCTATATATGCTCATTATATACATTTCTTTATTAAAGCTGCATTCTCTGTGGTGACCAGCAGGGGGCGACTCCTCTGGTCCCATAGAAGTCTACGAGAAAATGACTCTACTTCTCTCTTGATTTACTATATTCTCAGTAAACATTGTAAACGTGAGTTTATGGTCTCAATCTCTAATTTCAAGTATTCTTCAATACAGCATGATGTTCATTTAGTGACTGATGGTCCATTTAGAGTCAAACAGGCCATAAAGCAGGGGACGCTTTAGGGCGGGGCTTAATGTGAGGTTTCAACACCAGTGTTATCCTGTGTGGGTGTTGTCCGTGATTTCATTTTAAAACCTTATCCATTTCATAATGTGTTTTCATATTATGAAAGTCAATTGTAGCGTTTTGGTTAAAAAAATGTCTAATTCAGCGTCGGGTTATATTTAGCTCCGCCCTCTCAAAAAAAACAAAATCACCAAAGTTAGTGCTTCAATACATCTTCAAACCAAAGAGTGAACTCACAATGACTTCTTATTTACAGTCTACAGTTTTATATTCATGTAGACTGTGTTCATACAAAATTCACAACTTTATACAACTATCTACAGCAGCGATTCCCAAAGTGTGGGCCGCGGCCCCCTGGTGGGTCGCGAAGGTACTGCAGGTGGGCCGCGAGAGGTCATTTACAATAAATAAATAATGATTTTCAATTTTTAAAAGTTTGAAATTAATATAAAATTATTTATGATGCGGAACAATAGTTATGTGAAACATTAGTTGATGAAGTACAAAGAAGGAACCATTTTTCCAACAAAATCCTGAATAATAATTCAGTGTGAACAATAGAAGATTCAGCAGTATTTTCCCTCACCTGGAGCCCAATGTGCTTGTGGTTGAATGTCTTAAATAATGTGATATAAGATCACGTAATATTTTAGTGATGCTGACTTCCTGTTTGTAACTGGTCTCTGTTGTTGTTGTTGTTGTTGTTGTTGACTCTGCTGTGATCCGTGAGCTGTTCTTCTTCTCTCCCTCCTCAGGACGCCGAGTGTCCTCGCAGCATCTTGGAAGAAATCGGCCTCACGTAAACACCGTCCTCGCCTTCGCCCGCCTGCCTCTCACCTCCTTCAGCCGCTGTGTCTCACACACACACACACACACACACACACACACACAGACACACACACACAGCGCTGCCTTTGTTTTTGTAATTTCCTTCGCAGACCCTTAGTGTAGCTGTTTGTTTCCTCCTGAGGTGTTGATTGTTCCCGTGTGGACGGAGTGAACTGCTGCATGTGACCAAAGCCGGATTCTGTTTTTATTTATTGACTGATAGAATATTTCTATATATATTATAAAGTGCAGTTTTACACTACGGAACGAAAGGAGTTATGTTTCACCTGCTTTATCAGTGTTGTACGTCCTGAGGGTTTTCTCCGTCCAAAGCCCGTTGAGATCTTTTTTATGGAGGAAACTATAAATCACGGTTTCCCTTTATTAAAACAGCCAGTGTTGATGCTTTGTAACAAACCTGATTACCAAACAGACATCTGACCAGAGTGACGATTTAAAGCCGAGGCGAAGAAGAACATCACACCCCACTCTGTGACTGGCAGATATTTGCTATAAAACACAGAAAGGCTTTGGTTCTAACGGCCATTTGTGACGTATTGTACAGCGTGTAAACTACCTGTTTGAACAGGCATCTAATGGCAATAGTGTCCTAAACCACAGTGTTAACATTTATTTAAGTTTCCTGCCACCTGGTTGTAAAAAAACAAATAGATATTCAGACACATGTTAGATGCCTTTTAGATAATTTTGTACAAATATTATTAAATGTTCATATTTATTAAGCCGTTATTGTCCTGATTATTTATTAATCAGAATTTTAAAACGGTTGAAATCTTCCCATTGTCACTTTAGTAGAACTTCCATGTATTAATATAAAAAAACAATGATGATTTACTCCAGATGTACCGTCTGTTAATTAATTTTCCACTGATCACTCACTAACAGTGAAAAGTGACATAAATGCTTCATGTGTTAAAGCTGCATTCTCTCTACTGACCACTAGGAGGCGACTCCTCTGGTCCCATAGAAGCAGATGAGAAAAGACAAACAGACGACACGTTGAATAGTAAAGGTTTAATACAAAAGTAACACTACATGAACATGTCAAGTGACCTTAAATGTTTTACATTCTGTTCACAGCTTTTAAAAAAGTATAAAAAAAGGCCGTCACATATTATCATTTGAAATAATCAAAAAAGAACCGTTGGCTCAGGTAAAATAAAATATATACTTTAATGTTTGCATGAATTCCTCCACAAGTGAAATTAAATGTTTTTTAACATGCAAATGAAAAGTTCAATTCAATTTACAGATGAAACCATTTAAAAAGAAAACTCTCTGGTTCCACACTGGGCATACTGGCACAAACTGGTTCTGCTGCCTGACTCGGTCTGGTGGGACCAGTCGATTGTGGTGGACTATTTTAGAATATTTTATTTATATTATATTTATGTAATACATATATGCTTTACCAATGGGGGTCACTAGAGAGAAAGCAGCTCGCGACATGAGGCTTCGGATGCTGTCGATGGACATTATGTCAGTCGGCCTCTAGCTCTCCTCCATCAGCATCTCCTCAATCTCTCGCTCCCAGTTGTCGTCCCGGTTCTCGTTGTCGGCCAACACGTCGTACTCCCGAAGCTCCTCCTGCAGCTCTCTCTCCCAGTCCGGAGTCTCGTCTGAAAAACCCCCACAAAAAACATGACGCGTGACTCAACAAAACAAGACTAACCCCGGATGAATGAAACCAACGCACCCTGCTGCCTCTGGTCCAGAACCAGCTGCTCCATGTCTCGGCGCACGTCGTCCTCGTTTAACTTGCTGCTCGCAAATTCGGATTCTTTGTCCTTTTGTAACACGACAGACGCTCATTTCAGTCAGATTACTCTATTTAGTGTAGTGTTTTATTCTTAGAAAGAAGCCGGCTTACCTCACTTGACTGGCAGACACCGGGGGCAGTTTTCTGTTTGGCTGCATCTGCAGAGATATATTTTACATTAATGAAGTTTATCAATTGAAGAAATACAGCGTCGGTCATACTTAATAAAATGAACAGTGCAGACTAATAAACATTATTTTTATAACTGCTGGTGTGATGTCACAGAACGAAAGGTAACAGGCTCAGAAATGTATGAGGTTCTCCTCCACAGCATCAGTGTGCATGTACAGGAGATGGAGCAAAGGGATGGTCTGCTGTGAACTAAAGCTTTCAGCTTTGTTCTCTACAAACACTCGTGGTCTGAACTACGTCCGCGTCACTGCTCCACCACACTGACCCCGTGCAGAAGAACCTCACTGTCAGACTAAACTGTGCAGTAGATGAAACCTTGCAGTTGAACAGCGGCTCTCTCCTCGCGTCTCCTCTCAGCAGCTTGTCGGGCTGCGAGCGCCGTGACCTGAGCGGACCGTTCAATCAAGGACACGCGGTAGAAGTAGTTCTTCCAGAAGGCTTCTTCTTTCATCCTGGAAACAGGAGGAGGAGTCGCTCACCTCTGCAGTGGCACACGACGTCGGCGTCTTTAAAAACACTCACCGCTTGGGGACCAGCTGGAAGCGCATCTGCCGGAGGAGTTCGTCCTCCTCCAGCATCACCATGGCGACCGGATGCATCCGCTCAAAGTCGAAGTGAAACTGGACGCCAGCAGGAGGATCTCGCAAAAAATGCCTTTTGTCCTGTGGACGAGCGAAGTGAGATTCGTTCTTGGGATTTGTTGTTGGGATTCATTGTTGAGGAGAAACACTCACAGCCGACAGAGCTAAGATCTGTTGTTGGATGGCTGCTTCTTCGTTATAACCAACCCACGGAGGAACAGCGAATCCTGGAGGAACAACCAAAACTAACCGGTACTTACCGGTAAAATAGTATAACACATAGAATACTTGAAAGCAAAAAACCCCAATTCAGTATTAAATATGATATATATATATATATACTTAATGCATAAATTGAATAAACATACTTTACGGTACTTACCAGACGCTTTAGCTTTTTTCTCCTGAACAAACTTCTCTTGTTCTTTCTGGAATTCCCCCAAAATGGTCTGAGGGAGCAAAATGCCTTGACTATAAAAAGGAAAAAGAAGCGAGTGTGAGGATTAGGACGCGAGGCGCCCCAATGAGGCCTCACCTTGTGGATGATCCCATCGATGCTCCTCTCCTCCACGCTCTTCTTCAAGCTCTGCGCCGTCTCCACGACCGACTCGCTCAGTTTCTTTGAGGCGCTGCTGGCGAAGTCATACACGTATCCTGTAAACAAACAAACATCACAGAAGTCACGCGGATCCCGCTGCTTCCCTAAAGAGAGTAAACATTACTGTTTTTATTGTTACCATCTACACAAACAGAATGAAGCTTTGACAAAGAGTATCGATGAGATGATCTGGTCTAAATCTGGGTTTGTCCTGGACCTGGTCCTATGTGGTCTATGTTTGGGGAATGGAAGATCTACCTCTTTTTTTAGGCTGTCATTAGTTGAATTAAGTTAAAACAAATGGAACTGGGTTTTAAAGTGTTTAGTTTGATGACCTCGTCCCAGACTGTGGTGTTTGATCTGGTCCCACGTGGACTAGAATGTGAAGGAAAACAATCTCCGGATTCGGTCGAATAACAATGTAAAAGTTGAGTTTCGCTTCATCGAACGTACCGCCGAAGCCCTTCGCCGTGTGCAGACGAGCATCTTCCTCCCGTTGTTTGTTTACCTCCCCATCCTCGTCTTCCTCAACCTCAACAGTTGTCTCGCTTTCTTGGCCTTTTTTGTTTTCTACTCCGAGCCACGTGGCCCAGCTCTTAAACATACTTTAATTAGTGTCCGCCGAACAACAAAGTGTGTTCGGCTCCTCTAATTGTCATTAATTCGCCTTCCTGCCGCTGTTTTTCCTGACAGTTTGGAAAATTAACAGGAATGACGTAATCTGGTGACGTCGGCGGCGTTCGACCACTTCCGCGTTACGCGCTGAAGTTTGGCCCTGACACGCACCCGTACCCGGCCGGTCGCTATGGAGACGCAAGCGTTCCTCCGACACCGGCCGACGCCAGGACAACAGCAGCTAAAGTTTGAGAGCTAAAGAGTTTGTTCGTGTGGGAAAGTGGCGGACGTACTCTTAAAGCGTGTGAACTCACTCTGTGTGTGTGTGTGTGTGTGTGTGTGTGTGTGTGTGTGTGTGTGCGTTCTGTTACCTTTGAACTACTCGCCGCGGGACGGTAGGTGGCACGCGCGCGTCGCGTTTCGCTCCCACTTGTTATCCCTGTTGTCCGCGGGACGGGAGCTAGCTTAGCTTAGCTTAGCTTAAAGGAAACTCTCCCGAGTGTGTCAGTGTGTCGTCGTCGTCGTCGTCGGGTTTCGTACCGTGAAGTCGGATGTTTGCGGACCTGAACGTGCAGCGTTGAAAACCGGTGGAAACTCCGGACCAACTCCCACCGAACGCGTCCGGACCGCGGGGCTTTTTGAAGGAAGAGCGGTTCCGTCAGGGATAAACCCGGTTTCAGAAGATGAAGTATGTGTAACGTGAGCCGGGGGTCGAGCTGCGGGACACCCGACGGAGAGGTCGTGTTCTCCGGTTTATCCACACGTTGAATCCCCAGGTAAGCTCAGCCGCTTTAAAACAAGTTTGATGGTGTTATTTATCCGCGAAGTACCAAACCAAGTGTATTATGTGACAACATAAGTGTTGGTTTTTGTTTTAATCACGTTCGTCGCGGGCGGCTCGACTCATTTGTTTGTGTGCGGGAGAAGATGGTTTCCATTGTGCCGTGTTTCTAATTCTCTCTCTCGCATAAGAGCATTAACTGCTCGCGCGGTGACAACAGGTGTCCACGCAGCGCGACGGATCTGCGTGACGCGCACATTTTAAAACCCGTAAAGTCCCGTGTCCACGGGGGACATCGCGAAGACACCAGCGCTGTTTGCTCAGCGACACACGGAAAAGACACGCGTCCGTTCCGTGTATTGTCTTTATTTATGTGGTTTACTGTGAAACACTCACACCTTTTTCTCCCGTTTTTTCCAGGATTAATATCGATTAGGAATTACGTTTTAAAACAAGACTGAAAACTTTCATGTTCAGCTTCGCCTTCTGCTAAATTTTACCTACATTGCACTTTTAACCTCTGCCTTTAATTAAACAATTTAAATAAGATTTTAATTTATAATTTTATTTGTATAAACCCTTTGCTATTTTATTCATTGTCTATTTGTCTGTAAGTCTGTTCAAATTGGTTTCTACTGACCAAGTATCAAATTTGAAATTTAATTTTTATTATAATCGTGGCAGTAAGGAATCCTGAGAAATGTCACATCTTTCATTTTTTACATCAGAAGAAAATTCAGCTGAAATAATGCAGAATTCTTCAAATTAGTCTGAATTTGTTTTCTAAAGGGATTGGTTCTTTCTCTCAAAGAACATTAATCCTTCCTATATATTCTCTGAATACGTTAATTTAAACGTAATTTATCGCAATTGCTTTGCAAAAATTTATTAAGAAAATTTTTTTCTGGTAATGTGTATATAAAACTGAAGTGTGTGTGTGTGTTTTATTTCATTATTAACCAGACTCCCAGTGATGCAGAACTCGCTTCTGTCGCTTTGGATAAAAGTAGACATTAGAAAGTGCTTCTGTTAAAAGTGGTTCTCAAACCTTTTCAGATAATCTTTCTGTTTGAAAATATTTTAAGTACCCAACCGCGTATAACGTTAATTGTTTAGTTATTAAAAAAATTCAAAGTTCTCTTCTCACTTGTTCCTCTGTATCGTAATATAATGTAATGTGTGTGTGTGTGTGTATATATATATATATATATATATATATATATATATATATATATATATATATATTAAACATGGGAGATACTTAAAACAAATTATTGTAAAGAATATAAACAATGTTCCTTTTTTAAAATCTCTTCCTAACATTCCTTTCTAGCTTCTCCAGCCACATGCAAGTGCTCAGTTAGCTTTATTCACATGTAACGACAGCCCGCAGTGTTTTCAGGTCACGCTTCGGTTCCAGAGAGATTAAAAGATCAGCGGCGTGTAGCTGAGCCGTGCGCGTGAGCCCAAAAACCTCCATATCTCCTAAAGAAAAATGGACTGTCGAGGAGCGTGAAGAAGGCGACGTCATCTTCTCGCTTAGTAACCGAGAAGGTCCAGCTGGAGCTGCCTGCTGTTGCAGGGAAGGCCTTTAGAGTTCAGTGGGTGTCACAGCGGGAGGTCATCAGCGTACAAGTGGAGCCCATCATTCTCTCACACTATGTGACAGCATTCTTAGTACCACATCGGACCCAAAGATGTAGACTTTTCAGATGTGGTGGCATTCGCTCCACTGGTTTTCTAATTCTTACTTTCATCTTGTTTAGTTTTTTCTTTGCTGTTGCAGTTGTGCCATGGATGCGGTGGGATACAAGCATGAGTCGCACTACACCGAAGCAGACGGCCTTTGGACAGTGACGCAGAAAGCAGGAGATCTGGAGCAGAGGAGCAGGGATGGCGAGAGCTGGAAGCTGGTGGATGTATGTCTGTCGGGTGGAGCGCCATGGGGATTCACCCTCAGAGGAGGACTGGAGCACCGGGAGCCTCTGCTCATAACCAAGGTAACACCGCAGAAGGCTTCATGGGCCGAAACACACCGGAGGATTGAAGTGTTTGCTGCTTGGGAAATACGTTTTTACTGATTTTACTGGTCAAATTGTTCAAATATAAGAAAGTGATGAATGACCTAAAATTAGTTTTTTTGTCCGTCCTGCTTTTTGAAACATGAGTTCTTCTGTATTGAAGAAGACTTGAGACCATCAACTCATGTTTTCTGAGGGAATAAATCAAGCGAGAAGTGGAGTCATTTTCTCATAGACGTCTATGGGAGCTGAGGAGTCGCCCCCTGCTGGTCATTAGTGGGAATGCAGCTTTGAACAGGAAGAACATATGTCGCTGTAGCTGCTATTCAGCTGCCATGACTTTGTATGTCGGGTCGTATAAGCCACAGGAAGTGAGGAGAGTTCCTAAACACAGTGCAGCCCAATCAGCTCTGAAATCACACCGTAGCCTCACTTCCCTCCTGGCGGTGTAATGATTAACTAGAGAAGACCTTGCGGGTGGATTTAACTCGGTGAAATACCAGCCCCCTGTTAGTCGGGAGCTGTGTCCCTGGTGCTTTTTTTTTTTTTTTTTTTTGTGTATCGGCCCAAAAAAGGTCCGAAGTCCAACTCCGACAGACGAAACTCAGGATGTGAGGCACCACATGGGCTCAGAGCGATACCACCTTCTCTCCCCCCGCCACAAGCGCGTCATTCAAATGACAAGAATTCTGACCATTTCAAGGCGTTAAGCTTTAAGCTGAGCGATCACGCTGCCCAGTTGGACTCTGCTTCTTGCGGTTTTGATATTGACAGCATCTCGCTGTTAATGTTTTGTCAGTGAGCGCCACAAAACCGAGGACCAACGAAAGCCGGACCCGTCGTCATCTGACGGTGAGATCTGACCTCCTCAGGAGTCTGTGAGAACTCTTTGCTTTGAGCTTTTCACCTGATTGATCACGACCCGTTAAACGTCCTGACTGGAAGCTCCATGTGATAAACCTAACTTAAAACTCGTCTGTAACTGCTTCAGGAGGTCCGTTTGCCGTCACTTAAGCCTCGTGTGTTATTAGATCCCACCTGGACGCCTACTTATTGGAAGTATATCTCTTGGCTGGGTTGGATTTCCCTTTCGGCGGGTAGCTCGTGGTACCAGGAGCGGAGGAGGAATGCAGCAGCTTTGTTTGATTTCCTACATGTAGAGAATTATCTGTGACAGCCTGAAGCCCGTTGGAATGGTATGATGGGATAAATTAAGCGAGGATTAGCGATTCCTGTTTTTTCGCAGTGGCTCTTCGGAGTAACAGCCGCTGACTTACGGAGGAAGTGGGAGTTTCTCTCTGTTGTTTAGCGCAAGTAAACCGGCCATGTCCTCTGCCTGTAGGTCTGTAGTGAGGTCTACAACGTGTCTACGGACCGATCTGCTTTCTACCAGAGCAACACCTGAGGCCTCCGCAGCGTGCCCACATGTGTGTGCGTCACGCTGCGGACCGAGCACGCCTCTGAGGACGACCTCGTGGACTTTGTTCCTTATCCAGCCTTTTTGTTGTGGAGGTGGTTTCAGTAGAACATGTTATCGGCTGTGCTCCATGTGCTGTTTCTTTGTCCTCGGCCCGAACAGAAAGAACTTTGCTTACATGCACAAAATATTCAGCTATTTCTTTTTACCTTTTTTCTCCTGAAAAAGCTCATTGGTGTACGACCCATTCCGTGTTCATTTCAACAACATGAATTCAAATGAAATAGAATGTATTACTAGTGATGTTATTGCCAATATCATCACTTATGTTCTGATTTACATGCAGCCGTTCATACTTTGATTGCTTTTCTTTTTCTTGCGCTCAAGTGTAGAAAGGTTTTTTTGTCCAACACTCAGTTAACCGTCAGTAAAAAGTAAAAACCCAAATGGAGACGCATAGTGTTAAAGAATGCTGCTATAATCTGATATCGTCAACATATCACCTCAACACCTCAACATATCGCACGTTTTAATCTGAAAAAGCTTCATTTGTGGGGAAGATCTAATTGAAAATATAACGTTTCCATGAATCAAAACCAATTCTGAATCCTGTCAGCCTCAGAATAACGGTGCATGTGTGTGTATGCAAAACATCTGGGGACAATAATTATTGGATTTGATATTTTCTGAATCAGAACCCCTCTAATTTTGTATTCTACAATAAGACACTGTTTACTTGTCACTTTCGTCTTCATCCTACTGTTTATCAGACCACAGCCCTTTTTTATTAGTGACCCTAAATGTTCAGTCTTCTTCTTATGTTTGTGTCTTTCTGCAGTCAGCATTGAGTCCTCTCTCTCTCGTTTTTTCAGACATGTGTTTTTTTTGTTATTAACCCGAGCAGCACGTGGGGGATAAACGTGTTATTTCTGCATAATCGGCTGTTATGAGCATTCTCTCCTATTGCTAAAATGAAGAAGGTTTTTGTATTTAAAAAAAGGGCCCACAGCTTATTGAAAGGTTCAGAAAATGTGTTTAAAAAAAAGAATCCTGGATTTAATTAAAATTCTTAACATTCCTCTCATAGCTCGGGTAATGTTCAAGGACTTTGTGGACTTAAAGTCCTGAGTCTCAATAAACGATATAATCCTGTTTTACACAACACAGCTGGGCTCGTACCTCGTACATATCAGCCCGCGCCAGGATCACGGCTTTTATGGAGGGAAATATAGTTTGCTCTCCAATAACCGGCAAAATGTCTGTGTTCCAACACGCTGTGGTAAATCGCCTACGCTTAAACCGGTTTCACCAATTATTGCATCCTTTTGTGTGACAACTCGAGAGCCTGATTTGTTTTCATTTGGGTTTTTTTGGGGGGGGATTAACCTCTGCACCTAAGCTGATGCCGAAAGAGAAGGGTTATGGCAGAAAGAGTCGTGGACACTGTATGCATTTGTATTTGTGGAAGTCACGGTTTTAGTGGGGCGGGGCTTACTGTGATGGACAGGTCTCCAGGTGTGAAACAGCGTGAGGCACGCTGTTTTGGGGAGGTAAACAAACAACGGGAGCAAGTTGAGTTTTAAGAATCAATCCACAAACCAAAAAGTGACGTCACAACGACCACATTTGCTACTCGCATGGAGTCGGCAGGGTTGCGGTGGCGGCCTCACTTTAACGGCCGGGCGGTGTGGGCGTGTCTCTTTGACGGCCAAGCGGTGTGGTCGTGTCTCTTTGACGGCCAGGTGGTGTGGGCGTGTCTCTTTGACGGCCAGGTGGTGTGGCCGTGTCTCTTTGATGGCCAGGCGGTGTGGGCGTGTCTCTTTGACGGCCAGGCGGTGTGGGGCCGTGTCTCTTTGACGGCCAGGCGGTGTGGGGCCGTGTCTCTTTGACGGCCGGGCGGTGTGGGGCCGTGTCCACATCAGAGACCGAATGAACTTGGACAGGACTTGCACAGGAAGTCAGTCCTGAACGTGATGTCCATGTCCAGGACATCAGCAGAAAAAAGCAACACATTCCCCTATCGCCACCACATCCTTCCCCCGGCGTCCCACGCTGCGCCCCCGGGCTGTCCCCGAGGTGTCTCCTGCAGGATGGCTGCAGGGTGACTGATTAACGGCTGCAGGAAGATGGTAAACAAAGGAGGCGCGGCCCTCATGTTGTGTTAACGCTGACTCTCTGAGGCCCGTTTGTTGTCTTTTATGCTGCTGCTTGGCTGCGGTTGTTGTTTTTATTTACATTCTTAAATACTATCTTCTCGTGGAGCCTTGTTTCCTGTCTGAATAAAAGCCGGGCGGCTGTTTGGCCGACAATTTGTGGAAAACCACTTGAAAACCGAACACGTTAACGTTAAAAGATAAATGTAATGCAGTTCAGTTCATTTCCTCACTTCACTGTTTTGTGGAACACCGTTTTATGAATTCAAATATCTTTAACCAACCACAAATAGATTAAGGTCAGCAGCAGGTTTTCCACGCACCACCTTCTTGATCCTCCGTGTGAGCTCCACCTGCTCCAGTAGAACGCAAAAGGGCTGTTTTGTGTCCATTTCAAAGGCATCAGTCAGTGATTCGGCGTCTCTCTCCAGAATCCACCACCATATCAGGACCAGCTCAGGAATCCAGCCAGTCGTCGTAAAAAAGCCCCCCCTCCTCCCCCCGGTCCGCGCAGACCTTCACACCGCCGTTACAGCAAAATGAAAAGGCGCTTTTGATCGGAGCTGGCTCTGGTTGCCGAGGACGGAGGCCACATCACACGTAATGCTTCTGTAATGTTCTCGTACCTCTGAGTCACACGGGCCCCTCACGTCATCGCCGCGCGGCCCTTTCCACCGCTGTGTTATCGCAGGTGTCGGCCCTTAAACGAACGCAACGCTGCAGGTCTTTTCCTTCACATCACGCCGTGTCTCTAGGAAGCAACCTTCCCGCTGTTAACTTGTGAATGTTTCTCCTGTCGGCCCTTGGTTTGGATTTATCAACGACCATAAAGACTCACAGCAGCTCCTAATGGTTTGTTAAATTAGCTCATATGACATCTATATTGATAAAGACGTGTTGAAATATAAACGCTGGCTTTTCATGTTTCCTAACCCAAAGATGCCTCCTTCTTCTTCTGGTCTCCTGTGTGAACACCAGGGGCTTCTGATGTAGAAGCGGTAAACGTAACGACATGAGTTCCCATTAGCAGAATGTGCGTATGGCTTTAAGAGGCTTTAAAAGCAGCAGTATGAGGGCTGTTCTTGGCGCACTGAGAAGTAGCACCAAGGTCGGGTTGACTGAGGTCACTAAATCCCTTTCACAACACCGAGGTGGGAGCCTCCTGGACATAAGAAGCCTTCTGGCAGCTTTTTAATAAAACCGCACATCCTCCGCGCGGCTGCAGGCCAACGGGTAGGTCAACGCCGTGTGCGTCGAAGGCACCATCCTCCCACCTGCAAGCAGCTACTGTCACGCCCTCATTCCGACGGGTTGATGTGGAGCTTCCTCTGAATCTCACACCTTTCCCCCAGAAGCTCAATCCTCAGCTTCCTCAGAGCCGCCGCTGCGATTTGTCACCAAGGAACTGAAGCGACCGTGTTTGGACTGAGGAGGACGACGTGGAGATGCTGTGTAGCCCCGCCCTAAAGCATCACCTGCTTTACGCTGCGTGTGTGTGTGTGTAGAAGCCTCAGTTTTCCATCTGCTGTGTTCCCTCTCAGGTGGAGGAGGGCAGCAAGGCGTCAGCTGTGAGTCTCCAGGCGGGAGACGAGCTCGTCAACATCAACGAGATTCCCCTGAGCGGCTTCAGACAGGAGGCCATCTGCCTGGTGAAAGGCTCCCACAAGACCCTCAGTCTGGTGGTGAAAAGGTAGGTCGCCAATCCCCGTCCTCCGCCCCCGGCCCCCCTCCTTCAGCCCAACAGGTTGCTATAAGTAACGCTCGCCACCAGCCGCGCCGCGGCGCGAGTACCGCTCTTTTCGTAGCCGGACGGTCCTGTTTTGCCGGGTGTCACAGAGAGGTCGTAGTTTGTGACACGGTCTCTCCGGCTCCAGGTGAAAGGCGGAAGCCGGCGTGCAGGTGACGTCGTGGCGTTGCAGGTGCGGGAAGGACGGGGAAACATTCGCAACTCGTTTAACCGCTGAATCATGTGTCATCTGGGGCCCCCGCGGCCTTTTTACGCACGACCTCGCTGCGCGTGAGAAACACTGCTCCCATTGTTGTGTCATATCACAACGTAATCCCTGAACAAACAGCCTGTACAAGGAAGTCCACTCACCATTTAGCCCCGCCCCCCTTTGACCCCCACCAGAAGGAACGTGGCTTCGAGTGCCTCTTATTGTCTTTATTCCCCTTAGGATAGTCTATTATCAGCACCCGGAAAGAAGGTGGTGTTACTGTCTCCAACCATTAGCTCATTCTTCTGTGGGGGGACTTCCAGGCCTGAGCACACGCCTCCCCAGTCAGCACCTCGCCAGAGTCACGCAGTGCGACATCAACGCCAGAGGGCACCTTTGGTTACTTTTATATTCTCACTGGTTTGACGTTTAACTGCGGTAACGTTTCTGAGCCGTGGCGAATGAACACAAAATGTCTCTGGTCTGATTCCATCTTTGGTGCCGGGAGAGAAACTCTGATCAACTGGAAATAGACCAGTAACACCAATCGGGTCCTTGTATCGGGTTTCATCCCCTGCTGGTGTCTCAGTTTTGGGGTGATCTGCAGTATCAACGTGTATTTAAGGGCAGGAGGCCCGGCAGAAAGATCTGGGCGGCGTCATTTCGGTTCGCTTTGGTAGTGAAATGGAGAAAGAACCTTTCCTTACGAGGACAAGTTCCTATCGTTCTTGTTACCCCCGCGGGACACTTTCTTCCCCTCCGGCTCTCGGTCTGCGCTGAAGAATTCACAAGGCCGCGATAACAAAGTCCAGCGTGGATCGAAGCGGCGCTTTTTATTGTTTCATTCCATCCGTCTGCGCGTTGTGCAGAAAGCACCTGGCCTGCTGCAGAGCCGAAGCACCGCTGTGTTGTTTTTATTCTCTATCTCTGGGATCACGTCGGCTAAACGGGCGAGCATCGGGAAGCTGTCGGAACCTGCCCCCGCCGAGAGGTGCGGCCTCTTTGCCCGAGGGAGGGTGGAGGAGGGTGGAGGGTTGTGTAGGGGGGGGGGGGGCTTCAATGTTGGGAGTCGTTATGAGTCACCAATCTCTGACATTACAGTGGAGAATCTAAGCTATTTTTCTTTTTTTTTCTCCCACAAGCTGTTCACATTATTTTGTCTACCTCGCCGGTATTCTGCAGCAGGAGACCCCCTGCGGAGCTCGCCCCCGCACACCGGAGTGAACCATTAAACTCTCCGAGGTGAAGCGCCGGGTTTGTTTGTGGCTTTTGGTTTCCCCCTTCTGGCATCGGGACAGAAGCACCGACACGCTTCAGGGTCCAGCCCCCCGGGCCGGAGGCTCCCCTCCCCCGCCTCATCCCCCCCCGGCTCGACCCCGTGACGCACTGATGAGAACACTGTGTACATGTTTAAAAATTTACCAAAAAAGGCAAACTGTGTTTACGCGTTTTTAGAGACCGAAAACCTCCAAAATCTGCATTTCAGTAAATATTTCAAAGCTGCTGGGAAAAAGCCCCGGATGTTTCCTCACGCTGGCCCTTTAAATGTGAAGCGCTGTGAGTTTACCTGTGTCTGAAGGTGTTTACGTCAACGTGGCGGCTTTAGGGCGAGTTGTTCCTGCACCTTACCGGCGCGGGCACGGTGTCAGCATTCAGCCGGGGGGGGGTTACATTTACCGCTCACTGTTTCGCTAAATAAGCCCCCCTGCTATGTTCGGAATGCTGAGCAGGGAATTCTTGTCGTAAGCAGATTTCTTAAAATTGTTCGGATTTCAGTTGAGGAAATCCTAGTTTACAGATTTGCGTGTTTTTAATCTTATTGCACCCCCCCGGTTTCTTTTTGGTTCGATCCTGAGGGGAGTCGATATCACCAGGTAAACAGGAAGACGTTGTCAATAGAACCTTTAATAAATAGTATAAAAATACACTTGCTTTAAGCATTATGGTTTGTTTTTTCCCCAAACGTGGAATGAGGAAGCGTTCATGTGACGTGTGTGATTTCATCATCAGGGAAGCGGTGGTGCTTTACCTGTTGTGCGACATGAGAAATCCTTTGTCATCACATGGCAGCAGTTAGGAATGTTTGTGGTGACATCACATGAACAATGAATGCACTTTGGCGATGTCTGATCAACGTTTGATCACGCCGTTATGACACTTTGGGCAATCATTGGGCCACAGCCTCTGTGGAACGCAAGTCACATCCATCCGTGTTGTCCTTTAACCTCTGAGGACAGAAACGTTAAAGAGTTTATTCAGATTCACCTACAACACGTCCACCTCTTTCAGTAGCACGCTGGCTGTGTGAGACCCCCCCCCCCATGCACACATCACTGCTGTCCCTCTAAGTGAGCCACACAGGGGATCCTTAGAGCTCCCCAATCGCCCCAAAAGGTGTTTGACACAGTGACCCCCAGACAAAAGGTGTCCAGGTGCTTCCCGAGTCCGGGTCGTTCTGACAGCTGGAATCCTGGCGAGCTGAGGAATGCGCTGGTCATCGCGCTTCACCCCCCCTCCCTCCCTGCTGTCCACAATAGAGTCCGTCCGTCCACCCCACAAGTTGCTTTTTCTTCAACTTGAAAAGTGCTGAAAATGAAGAGGGGGGGGGGGCCCTGTTTGGGCCCTCAGGGCGGATGACTGGGGGGGTTAATGGCAGCGAGTGATAGAGAGAAAAAGTTCCGGTTTAACCAGCGGTATTTTGAATGAAATATATTGAGGATCCATCATTTATTGTGCTTTGCCCGTGATGGAAGACGGGACGTTGTCCTTTTATTAGTGAGTTCATTTCGCTACAAACAAACTAACCAGCCTCCTTTGAAGCGAAGCCTTGGAGCCGCCGCGTGTCGCTGACGTCTCGCGTTTGGACCAGCTTACCCGAAAGCATTCAGGGCGACCGGGCGTTTTCCCCCCCCCCCTTCCCCCCCAAAGACGAGAGCAACCGGTTTCCATAGTAACGCTAGAAATTGCACCCGCCTGCCGCACAAGAGGGGAGACGGGGAAGACAAGAGTCCGCCATTTCGTCCCCTCATTAGCATACTGGCCCGGTCGCGGCCAAATGGGACGAAAGGCGAGGCGAGCGGATACTCCACGGGGACTGGCTGTGACAATAGCCCCGGACCCCCCCATCCTCTCCTCTTCTTCTTCGCCTGTGCTCTCTTCCACCCCCCGCCCCCCACTGCTTTTTTGGGGGTAAAACCCCCGTAATCCTGAAGGAAATCTGCCCTGCGCTCAAACTAATTCTGCCCAGAGAACTTGGTTCTTCGGTCATGGCCGACCTGTGTGGATCCGTGCCGCTCAGACCTCCTGCGTGTCTCCTTCTTCTCGCTCGTCTTTGAAGTGTGGAATGTGGCTCCTGACCGGGACTCGGGTACAACTTCCAAACTGAGCTGCAGGTTAATATTGTTCTATTTGGACAACACGTTTCTTCTTTGTATGCATTTTGAATTCCTTCACCCAGATGCTCGGTGAGTCACAGAATGAACTTTTTCTTGTTTATGTTTTAGTCACTTTTAATGTGTTAATCTGTGGCTAAAGTCACTCCTGCTGCTTTTTATCTCGTAATATGTTGGTGAATGTCTAGCGGGGGGGGGGGTATGCCGGCATCCCTTCTGCGTTTTGACCCTAATACTGTTATTGTGGTGGTTTTTGTTATGTCTCATCATTCACGTTGAGGTCACACGTCATTTGGGTTAAGCTATGATCAGCAAGACTTTCCAAACCAAATGCGAATTAATCTTTGAGGTACAGACTTAAAGGTAAAACAAAACCCTCCTGAAGCGTTATTCTTGTCATTAAGTGACTTTGATTAACGGGTTTGTTTTGCAGGCGCATGTTAGCGGGTTATTGTTGAACATGGACCGGTTGATACCGGATACATGTGAAGTGAAATGGGGCTCTAAACCGAATCCCCCGCCCCCATCGCAGCCAACTGATTCACTCTGGAGGCATATCTGTGGCGGCCCAGCTGTAGCCCTGACGATAGGCCTAATAAAGCCAGCCTCATTTGCATACCAATGGCAGGCGAGCTCCTCGTGCCCCACAAACACGGGACGGCGTGGAGACCAGGAAGACCACGGCCCTCTTCCTTTGTCCTCCAAATGGGCCTCAGGGTTTTAATCCACTATTAATTTACGGGAAGCATCCAACTCGATCGAGCTTAAACAAATCTCCGTCTGAAAATTCTCAATTTGCAAAGAACGGCTTACGCTCCGCGTGGTGCCTTCAAGTCTCTGTCAGAAAGGAAGCAACTCTTTGGGGCTCTTGTCATCTAGTCATTGAGGGCCTTTGGGCGAGGTCACTGGGGGGGCGCGACCTCCTGACCTCACGGCTTTGTGGGCCAACAGAGTCCAACGAGAACGTCAGCTAGCAGAGCTTTGTCCAAACTTCTTGACCAGTACAACTCGGAGCAATCAACATGAACCTTCACCACGTCATCACCACATTAAGAGGAGCATTTATTGATTTAAAGAGTAGATGTCAACATGAACCTTCACCACGTCATCACCACATTAAGAGGAGCATTTCTACATTAGAGGAGATCTATAAGAGGAGCAGGGGGGGTCTGGTAGGCAGACGACAGCTTGGGTGGAGGGCTGATGTGGCTGATCTGTTGGTGTAAGAGATTCTCTGCGCCTTTAAGCCCCCTCGGCCCCCCGCTGGGCTTGTGGCCCCTGTGGGACCATATGGTGGAGTCTGAGCTCACCTCAGACCGTTCTCACACTCGAGCGCAAGCTCCACGACGACGGTGCCGTCCCGCGTTAGTTCGACCAGCAGAGGGCGCTATGACCTCACGCATCAGTCGACGTGATGCACGCTACTGTCCTGTGAGGCAGAGAACTTCAATCTCACTCTACTCAACATTTCGGGGGGGGGGGGGCAACAAACCTCAACAAACCTCTGCCAACCAGAAGCAGCGGTTTGAATGTCCGATGGTCTTTGTCCTGTCAGCTGTCTGTGAGCTCTTAGTGTGTGTGTGTGTGTGTTCCTCCCCCTTGCTGCCCAGGAATATGAAAATGGTGGATATTGTAGCTCTGAAAATGCCCTCTGAGAATGACGTGCATGTGGCAAGAAGCTTTCTTACGAAGATCTTGCGAAGTTCCATGAGGTACGGTTCCGTGGCTTCATCGTAATCAGTAGTGCCTCCTTCCCGCCTTTCTCTCTCTCTCCGATAATCCCGCTAGTTCCTCCTCTAGTGATAGTCCCATCCTCATCCCTCCCCAGTGCTTCGTCACCTGCCCCCTGGACTGTCCTGTGATTCACCTCCATTAGCTGACCGGCTCATCCCATTTGTGCAGCATGCCACACGCATGTCCTTTCCGCGTCCCTTCTTGTGTACTTGTGCTCTTCTGTGTTCTGACCGGAGTAACTGAACTTGTGTTTGATGTCGGGGATGCATGTTTCATACTGATGTTCTCTGTTCATGTTTTCCTGACATGCATATTCAGAAAGAGTCGCTTTAAAGGGTACGTTTCCATATGCATGGAGGTTTTGATCGGTCTCCATCTGTAAATCATGTGAATTAGATTTTAAAAAGTGCTTGCTCGGCATACAGTAGGAGCAGTAACGTTGAATAGCTAACCGGCCACAATGCACACATGGGTGCATCAGCAGTAGCTGCAGCTGCACAGTGAGCACACGCTACCTCCGAGGTCCCTGATCTGGTCTGTGATGTTCTTCTCTCTCTGCAGGAGGAGTGAACCCATAAGCAGGCCTCACTCCTGGCACGCCACCAAGTTCAACGAGAGCCAATCGCAGACTGCCAAAGCGCAGTCTCCGCCCACGCAGGTCTGGCAGACCAGATATGACGCAAGGTAACTCGGGGACCTTGAGGTTTTCCTGTTGAGTCTTTGTGTTCGATATCAAGCCGTTTAGATCAAAAAGTGTCTGATTGAAATCATCGGTGGGTTGTTTGTCCTACGGACACTTTGTCTCCTATTCTGTTGAAACTAACTCTAACGCGTCTGCTGAAAAACAAACATAAGGCTTCCAACACAAGAACAGGGTTTTCCATGGAAATGTTTCTTATACAAACAAAGGACTATTTTATTTCCGATGTCTAGAATTAGATACATAGACCTGTTTACTCTATCGTGCACTGGCAAAAAAGCAGATAATTAATTGGATGTGAGACAAATCCACCTGTACGGATTGAGAAACCTTCTCTCTGACGTCTTGTTTATACATCTAAAGGTCTTTGAGAGCCACCGTCGTAGTTCAGAACCAGATTATAAAACCGGGTATTTTTTGCATGTGGTGTTGTGTTTTCACGCCTTCCTTTGACCTCCCAGCTCTTCCTCCACGGATCTGTCTTCTGCCTGGGAGCAAACTGACCTGCGCAGAGCGTCCGACCAGTTCAGCTCACTCGGCAGCATGGACAGTCTAGAGCATGTCTCGCACCCGTACGCCGCCGGCCAGCTGTCGCCCGCCAAGTCCAACAACAGCATGGAGCACCTGGGGGGAGGCAAACGGGACTCGGCCTACAGCTCCTTCTCCACCAGCTCCGGCACGCCGGACTACACCCTGTCCAAGAGCGACGCCGCCTCCACGGAGAACATGCTCTATAAAGTCGGTCAGTGGGACGCGGGGGGAAAGCAAAGCAACGGCAGAAGCGCCCAGAGCGCCGCCGACGAGCGGGTGGCGTACATCCAGGTGCCGGGAGTCGGCGCCGGCCCGCAGGCAGACGACTCGGCCGGCTCGCGCCACTCCACGTCCAGCAGGACCACCGTGGGACCCGTGTGGCACGTCCCCGAGGCCAAAAAGAAGGCTTCCTCGTCTCCCCCGTCGCCTCCTCCTCCCCCCCCTCCTCCTCCGCCCGCGCGCAGCGACAGCTTCGCTGCGACGAAGGTGCACGAGAGGGGGCTGGTCGCGACTCACCCCGAGGGACCCGAGCCGCACCCCGAAAACCGCCGCGGCCACAACCCACCTCAGAAAAACGAGCCCGAGGCTCCGCGGCGCGCCGTCCGACAGGTCCAACCGCTGGGCTCGAGCAAACAGCAGTCGCTGTCCAGTCACCGCGACGTCCGGCAAGGCCCGCCCCCCCACCAGGGACAGCACGGGGACAAGAGCTTACTTTACTTTTCAGGCCCGAGCCGTGTCGGTGCCGAAAATCGCAGAACGTGGGGGGGTACCACAGCAGCATGCAGGAGCTGCCCACCAACGGCGCCGCACAGCACTTTGGTCAGAACCACAGAAGGAACTTGAGCACCTCGCTCTCCACCGCCGCCGCCGCCGAGCACAACGCCGAAAGCGGCCCACACAGTCGGTACTACTGCGTCACCACGGTCCAGGCCGCGCTGCGCGAGCCCCCGCCCGCAAGAACAGAGGACCGGAACGGCGTCACCGGCTCGGACCTGGCGCCGGCCGTAGGTGAGCGCAACTCTCTCAGCCTGCAGACGGTTCCCAAGGTGACGTATCATCTGCCCCAGCAGCAGCAGCAGCACTCCTCGTTCAGCAAGGACAGCAATGGATACAACAAGCACCAAGTGACCTCTGGGATGGAAGGACCCGGACCCAGATCTGGCTCTGACGGCAGGGGAAGCCCGAGGGGGGCCGGCGCCGAGGCTCAGTTCCCGAGCCACGCCTCCGGCTGGCAGCACGAGCAGCGGAGGCCTCCGCCGCAGCATCACCAGGACGTCCAACATCACGGCCAAGCCGGCAACAAGATCTGCGCCCAGGCGACCCCCATGCTTCACTTCCTGTCCGTGGACGGCGACGACGCCGTCGCGGGCCAAGGCGAGGCGACGAGGGGCCCGACCTCCGAGGAGTCCCTCGACAGTAAGATGGCGAGACGCAGCGACCGCTTTGCCACCACGCTGAGGAACGAGATCCAGATGAGAAGAGCCAAGCTGCAGAAAAGCATTAGCGCAGCCGCCCTTCCTGGCACCGAGGGAGGGGGCGAGAATGATCAGGATGTCTGGAAGTCCCCCGAAAGCGCCCCGCCGGCCTCCTTCACCGGCTCCTACAAGGATCACGTGAAGGAAGCACAAGCCAGGGTGCTGAAGGCGACGTCCTTCAGGAGGAAAGACCTGGAGCCTGTGCTGCTGGAGCACCTGGCGGCTGAGGGCTTACCCAGCTACCCGTCCTCCCGGAAAGACGTGGCCCCTCTGCCGACCCTCTCGGAGTCTGCAATGAGCAGGGCGGGGCCCGCCGGCGGTCAGGTGACTCGCATCGGCAGCCGCAAGCGGTTTACAGCGGAAAAGAAGGTGCGGTCTTTCTCCGAACCGGGCCAGATCCACCAAGTCGGCGTGAGCTCTGCGCCGCACCAACAGCAGCCCTGTAAAGAGGGCGGGACACCAGCTGTCCCCAATCACGCCCCCCATCGGAGCAGTGCGGGGAACCCCACGGAGGCCGAAACCCGAGGTCTCGCCCCCACCAGGGAAACGGAGGACCCGTTGAAAGGCGCCAGGAGCAGAGTGTCCACCGCAGAGGTCCAGGAAGGTCCTCACTCTGCACACAGGCAGGGCGTCCAGGACCAGCAGAGACTGGGCACCTTTGCTGAGTATGAGGCCCGGTGGAGTGCACAGAACCCCCCCCCCGAAACGAGAGCCTCCGGACGGTACCGGTCGGCTGACAACATCCTGGATCCGGGGCCGGAGGAGAGAACCAAAACCACCTGCTTCCATGAGAGATCCCGATCGTCTCCTTCGGCCGACATCTATGGACGGGTGAGTGTGTACTCCCTCACAACAATTTGATAGGGTGGCTTGATTGAAGGTGTCATTGAGTTGCATTATGGGAAATGTAGTACCCAGTATTCCTTCAGGCCACATAGCCGCAGACAGAAAAGACGATATCTTCGGCCCGGATGGTTCCATATTTATGGACACGATTGCGTTGCTTGAATGTTCTCTTTTTAAAGTTTCCCCCAAAAGCAACGAGTTACATATTAACCCTTGAACTTGGATTTTAGTCACTTAAACCTCGAGGCGCCTTTCAGAAAAACACGCTCACTCAGTCTGAAAGGAGCCGGAAGAAACGGGCCAAGTCAAATATTAATCTGTGTTTGTTCATAAAGACACACCCTCAGCTTAAAGGAGAGAGAGAGAGAGAGTAATCAACGCCCGGTTGTTTTATTTTACTGGAAAAAGGTTGAGAACTCGGCTCCCTCGGATTAACTGGCATAACGGACCACGTGTTTTCTCCACTCTCTTTACAGAAGATTCAGGTTCCTGCAAGAAGGTTCGAGACCGAATATTCCCCGGCGGAGGGCACACCTGCCGAACGGCTCGTCGCTGCCACGGGGTGAGTGGACCTCCCGCTGCTTCCGGCGTCCGTGGTGCCTCCTTTTACCGTCTCCGGCGTGCTGTTGCCTCAGCGATGCTGCTGGAGGAACAGTTGAGGTCTTTCATGATCGGCGTTTTGGAGCAGCTGTGACAACACAGTCTCTCTGGCTGCGCCTCGTGACCCCGGGCGGAGGTCTGACGGCGTAGGCGAGACATCAGGCCCGCTCGGTCACAGTGAGGAAGTGTTCTACTCGGCCCTGTCAGAATGTGACGGGGGCCTGAGTTCAGGAGGGTCCGGGTGTGGGGGGGGGGGGGGGCAGCCTGAAGGAAGGAAATTAGCATCAATAAGTTGCCGTTTCTTTGTGTAAATGGATTTCATGGCTCAATGGACGGCAATGTCTGTCTGTTGAATTCTGGAAACTGAAATTGAATTGATTGCTTTTCATTAAATTAGCTTTTTATTCATTTATCTAAGCACTGCTTTTAGTCTCTAAATCTCTGGTTTATTTACCTTGAAAATGTTGAAAAAGTGCTTAAGTTTCAGCTGTGCGAAAATGGCCGCCGAGCTAACGATGTTCCCGTCGAGCCGCAGCTGCACAGCCAGTTAGCCGATGTTAGTATGCTAAGCTAAGATGAACAGGCTAATAATGTGTGTTAGCATCCTCATTGTGAACACGCTCCTACCATGCTAACATTTGGCTCTACCTCATGTGCAGCCTCACTGCTAGACTGTTGCATTATGGGATGTGCCGTTCTTTTATGTCGGTTAACTTTGGGGGGAGAAAAAAACATGTGAAGCTGTTTGTGTTGGATTGAAGTTCTCGCTTCAGAAACCGTTTGCTCAAAGGGCGAGGCAGAAGAGTTTCATGTGATGCTCTGATGTGTGAACTCGCATTGGGAGTTGTCAAACGTTGACGTGTGGCGACACCTTCTTTATCCACAAATTTAAATTATTCCGGGATTTTCTTCTGATTCTGGCCCTTGAGGGGAAGCTGCTGTTAGGAGTCAAATGTTGAATTAAAGGAGCACCACACTACTTTTTCCCTTTTAACTCCATGGTACCTCTCAAGGAGCGAGCGAATAATGAAAGTATTGAGAGTGTGGGTTTTGTTTGAGAAATTGAAGGAGTGGGTTTGACCGATGTGGGTAATCAGCTCCTAGGTGCTGTTTGATAAAAGGTGCAGTTGTGTTGCATCGTGGGAAATGGAGTATCCAGTCTTGTGAAATGCTTGACGCACTTGTGGAAACAAAAACCAGGACATTTTGTCCCCCGTTTTGGCCGTTATTTCGTGATTAAACAAATCTATCTGAACCATTCCTCTTGCGTTCGGCGAGCTCCGGGTTTAAGGTCGTAGTTTGTAACCAGCTGTTGGTACGTTAGCTGAAGCAGGGCGGAGCGTCTACATGATGACACTCTCGTTTGCATCACCATAAGGACGCTGCTTCCATGTAAACACTTGTGAGCTCAGTGAGGCGGGCTCCACCCGGGGGGGGGGGGTTACTGATGGAGGTGTAAAGACACTCTGACCCGGTGTTCTGTGGACATGACGGACGTCGAGCGTCACAGCGGGTGAGTCTTGTTAGAAAGTCCTCTGTTTGGTTGACAAACACCAGAATGTTTCTTATTGGAAACATTTGGGTTGTTTAGTCAGAGTACGATGTCCCAGAGGACTCAAGTCACCCCTCTCTCTCTCTCTCTCTCTCTCTCTCTCTCTCTCTCTCTCTCTCTCTCACCCCTGCCGATGGAGGCCGACGCCCAACCTTTCTGTTTTCAACAGAACAGTTTAACTTCTGTATGATTCTACTGTGTTTCTTAGCGAGGAGACGGGCGAGTTCGCTCATTGGGTAACTTGTGTCAGCTTGTGGGATCTGGGAGGCTTGAGTTGTGGCGTCCGTCCGTCCGTCCTTGTGACTGAGGGATTTGACTGATTGAATTTGAATCGGAACACGCGTGTGGAACCAAAGTGTGGGGGGGGGTGGGGGGTCTGGATCCACTTTAATGAATGGTAGCATACACATGTTGGTATATACTGCTTTCATCGCGCAGGCGATCCTCCCGTGAGTCTCTCTCTTTACTCACTCAGCGTTCCTGTGAAGGAAAAAGTGACTGGAGGATTATTTATTCCTCTGCGCTGACTTGTGGGAACTTAAACATCCGTCTGCGGGCCGCCAGCGGAGCAGGGAGGAGCCTCCTCTCTTTTTCAGAGACGAGGGCAGACGTGTGTCTTGTCTCGCTGGCGTAATCTCAGCGCCGTGTCATTTCCCTGAGCTGCAGGGCCGAGCCGTGTGACCTGACGCCGCTGTGTTCCTCAGGTTCCCCGACGCAGGGCCCCCCCGCCGCAGCGCCAGGGAGACGCACCACCCGGACCTCGGCCTCGGAGCCAAACACGGGCCCACCCCGGTCCCCGGCGGCCTCACGGGGTCCGTCACCCCTCCGCCGGAGGCCCGCAGGGGGGCCTCCCCGCCACCCCGACGCCCGGAGGTCGACTCCCATGAGCCCCCCGCCGGTTCCCAGGGAGAAACCCTCACCCGCTGCCCTCCCGACCCCGCCCACTCTGCGGAGGGAGAGCCCGAGCACGGCGACAAAGGACGTCCGACCCCCCCCGACTCCGGGGCCGCTCGCCATGGAGGAGCAGCGCTCTCCCTCTCCACACTTTTCTCCTCAGAGACTCAGCGACAAGCCTCCGGCCTCTCTGCAGGACGAGGACCCCCCCAGGTAAGAAATACACTTCAGAACACATTGTCATTCAGCGGATTTACCCACATTCTGATTGCTGAGCTACCCTCAAAAAATACAATCATAACTCAGCGCCGCCCTCCGTGTCTTCACGCCGGAGCACAAAGGAGCTCGTTCATTCTCTGCTGTCATTTCAAGGAATTCCCCACATTTCTACAAAAGCCACGAGGCCTAATGAACGCCGCTATCACAAAGCTGCTTCTTCGTCTTCTTGATTCAGAAATGATCGCTCTCTAGTGAACCTCGGATCATCAGAGCCAGGACGTGGGGGGAGGAGTCAGCACGGCGCCGTTGATCTATTCAGAGTGCGGGGCGGAAAAAAGGAAAGATCTGGTTTGAGTCGGAATAAAAGTCTCTCTCTCTCCCTCTGACATCTCAGGACGGAGCATGTGGTAGAAAAGCCACATTCCGCAGCGAGGAAAGTTCCCATCAGGATCGTCCACTCGGAGGTCGCGGCGGACAAGGAGGCGTGTCCCTATCTGCAGCACGGCGACGCCCCCCACGCCGTCGAAGCCGAGGGTCCCGGCGTGATCCGGCTGGTCGGTCGAGGGGCCGCGGGGCAGGACTCTGGCTTCTGTGCGTTCACTCGGCAGGGGGAGACCGCTCAGGCCGACGCCTACATGACCACCGTTGGAGATCACGGCCTCTCCGACGGGCCGCCGCCGGCCCACGCCGAGGTCACGGAGGTCACGGAGGTCACACGGCTCTCTGAGGATCAGAAGAGAGACGAGTTGGCTCGCAGCATCATGGGAAAGGATAAATCGCTCACTGAAATCCTGGACCAGAGCAAGATGAAGACCACCATGGACCTGATGGAGGGCATCTTCCCCCAGGAGGAGCAGCTGCTGGAAGGAGCTCACCAGCGCAGGAAGGTCAACCGGCCTGCTGAAGAAAGGTCAGAGCCCCCCCCAAAAACCTCTTGTGCGATTGTAAATTAAGGGCGAAAGGTGAATTAAACATGAGGAACTTTGTATTTCAGGGAAAAGGAGGACAGCGTGGCGGCGGCTGTCACCATGGTGACCAACTCTACGTACTACAGCACGTCTGCTCCCAAAGCCGAGCTCCTCATCAAGATGAAGGACATGCAGGATGAAGAGGAGGAGGAGGAAGAGGACTTCGAAGACGAACTGGACATCGACCTGGCCAACAAGAAGGTAGCGTATTAGACTCCTCGTTATTGATCAGTGCATCGGAATCTGCAGGTTCTGCGTATTGGGAACGAGCCCGAACCTTTCTACTCAATTCTTCATGTGTGTTTTTAGCCTCCTCACTTGCGTTGGTCCCCATTGCTGGCTGGTCAATCTGTGTGTGTATGATTTGTGTCCTTCCACGTCTTATTTTAACTGGATAAGGCTAAGCTAACGTTAGCATTGTTAGCTTGATTTGCAACTTGAAGCTGCTTTAGTTCAGTTAATAGGAGGAGGAGACATTTGTGGTTAAAAACCTCCTGAAGCATAATGTCAACAACTCCCATGATCCCATTCTGCTTCACCACGTCTGTTATGGTTTTGATTGAGAGACAGAAAGGGACATGATTGAATGTGGACACTGTGACTGACACACACACACACACACACTTTACCGCTTTGCTCCCACTGTTTTTCCACAGCAAGAGCTGATCGACAGCCTCAGCAGGAAGCTGCAGGTGCTGCGTGAGGCCCGGGAGAGTCTTCAGGAGGACATCCTGGACAACAACGCCCTGGGAGACGAGGTGGAGGTCCGGGTCCAGCAGGTCTGCAAGCCCAACGAGCTGGACAAGTTCCGCATGTTCGTCGGGGACCTGGACAAGGTGGTGAGTCTGCTGCTGTCGCTGTCGGGCCGCCTGGCCCGGGTGGAGAACGCCCTCAACAGCCTGGAGGAGGACGCCACCGCGGAGGAGAGGGTGAGAGAAGCCGCCGGACTTTGAATGACTGGTTGCGACCCGTCAGTCAGTGTGTAGCCCCGCCCTAAAGCAAGGCCTCCTCTATTTGAGCATTTCTAAATGTACCATCATTTCTGAAGTAAAAATGTTATTTACATGTCTGAGGATTTTACATTCAGAGAATGAGCTTAAAGATCTACATCCGAGTACCGAACAGCTTTTAGCCAAATCAAATTTACAGGATATTCAACCTTTTGTCTCTTCATATGACATTTGAATGTGCGACATGGACCCTGACCCGCCTCTCCTCGCCCCCATCAGCGCACGCTGACGCAGAAGAGGAAGCTGCTGATCCGACAGCACGAGGACGCCAAGGAGCTGAAGGAGAACCTGGACCGCCGGGAGCGCCTGGTCTACGACATCCTGGCCGGCCAGCTGCCGGAGGACGGCCTCACGGACTACGAGCACTTCGTCAAGATGAAGTCGGCGCTCATCATCGAGCAGCGGAAGCTGGAGGACAAGATCAAGCTGGGCGAGGAGCAGCTCAAGTGTCTGACGGACAGCCTGCCGATGGAGCAGAGGCTGGCCCTGTGATGGGGGGGGGGGGGGGCCTCGTCCCAGCAGAGGGAGACAGAGACAAAGCGGCTTCGAGGTGCGATGGACGGATGTCAGTGTCCTCCGTCCTCCGTGGCTTCGGTCTTTCAACCCGCGTTGTTGGTTTGATTTTTTTTTTTTAGTAATTTATTGTAGCCTTTTGAATCTGCGCAGGAGGGACAGTATTTTATCTTCAACTGATTTTGAGCTTCCTGAAACTAGAAGAATTTAACATGTTTTCAAATATTTTCCCCATCTGGAACGAATATGGCCGAATATTTCAGTAAACAAGTTTTTTTTATTTATTTTTTTACCTTTTTATATAAATTTAAACTAGTGGCCTTTTGGACTCGGAGGTTTGTGCCCATCGCTCACTGAAGCTTTTCTCCTGGAGGTGAAGCAGCGCTTCACGTCACACTTTTGACTTCTGAAGTGCCTCCGACGCGCTGCGCTCTTTCCTCCACTTCGTCACGTCGCCGCCCCACTTTTTGTTTCTTTTTAGTTACAGCCAGACAAAAAGAAAAGGAGAGTTTTACAGATCACGACGCTGATACTTGTGTGATACTTCACTGTGTTATTTGTTTTTCACTTTGCTGGTGGTAAAATGCATGACTTCTAGATCAATTTCACACACACACACTAGCGGAGGATGTTTGTTCTGCACATTTTGTATCGGTTTTCACTGCTGCCGCCTGAATCTTTAACACTTTACCAGCCGCGCTCTTTTATATGAAATAAAGGAGTCTGCTGAACGGCGTCTGACTGGTTGTTATTTCAGTCGTTCATTAACCGCCCCTGCTGATAACCAGCAGGCCGAGGAGACTTTGGAGCGTCTCTCCTTGGAAGAGTCTGCACAATGTCCACGCTGGATCTGTCGGACGCGTCTCCTGCCGTCGATAACGCTCGCCAGGAAGGATTCGGTTCATTGTGAGGGGCGCCAGGTCCCAGGTGAGTCACGGGGCCTTTTTTATTTAAATGTCCAACCGTCAACACAGAAAACGTGGTCACGGTTCTTCGTGGTGTTTATGAACGTATATTTTAGGAAATACACCAGTAAGTTTTTACGTAAAATAAGAATAATTGAAATGACAGACGAGCAGATTCCAGGTCTCATTAGTAAACTTTATTCATAGTCGACTTTTACTTGCATGTGTTCATATCTGCTTCATCGTGGACTCTGACCTGAAGACCTTTAGTGTGTCCCGGTGATTATGCACCACATACTAATGGACGATTGCTCGGCTTCCGCCTTAATGTCACGCAGCCGCCTGCAACGCCTCGCGGACCCCGACCATGAGCCCGCGGCCCCCGCGGCGTTAGCGGCCCCCGGACCCCGCGATGATGTACCTGGCGCACACCGCTCACTGGCAGTTCCTGGGCCTGATAGCGGGGCTCCTGGCGTGGATCCTCCTCATGGCCGCCACCGGCCTGAACGAGTGGCGCCTGTGGCGCTTGGACGACGTGTCCGTGGTCACGTCGGGCGTGGCCTGGGTGGGCATCTGGAGGGCGTGTTTCTACAGCAACGCCTTCCCCGAGGCGGAGACCTGCCGCCGCATCGGCCTCTCGGAGCCGTTCGCCCCCGCAGAGGTCGCCGCGGCTCAGGTGCTGATGCCGGTGGCGGTGATCTGCGGCCTGGTGGGGAACGTGGGCGCCGCCGCGGCCATGCGGCTGGTCTACTTCTCCGTGGAGGACCGTGGGAACGTGCGGCCGGCCTTCGTGCTGGCGGGGGCGGGGTACCTGCTGGCGGGGACGGTCTGCTCGGTGCCGCTGGCGTGGAACGTACGGTCGGTGCTGATAAACGGCAGCATCGAGTTCCCGCCCGAGTTCTACCTCCCCGCGGCGCCGGCCGGGCAGCGGGTGGGCTCGGCCGTCGGCGTGGGCGTCTTTGCCTCGGTGCTGATGCTCGTGAGCGGGCTGCTGTTCCTCTGCCACCGCTACGCCAGGACGTCGCCCAAAGGCGCCGCGGAGCTGCGGGCACAAGACCGCCAGGGCCGAGACAACCGCGCCTTTCACACGGAGGACGTCTCCTGATGGAGGACGTCTCCCGATGGAGGACGTCTCCCGATGGAGGACGTCTCCCGATGGAGGAACACAGAGACCCTCTTTGCATTCTTTTGTTCTGTCATCCACAAAGTCGGATTCTTGAAGGTGAAACGTGTCTGATCGACTCGTTTATATCACTTTCAGAACATTCTCATAAAGTCTCCACCTAATAAATGTTCTTACAGCAGTGACTTTGATTGTATTATTTATGCAAAAGTTGTTTCCACTTTTTGTTTTAAACAACATCGGTCCTGATTATAACTAAATTATTTCTCATAACTTAACCCTGTTTAAAGGCTGTTTATGCTTCTGCGTTTTCAGAGAGACGCAGGGACACGCAAGAGCCCCCCGCGTGTCCCTTGTGTGTCTTTCCGCGTGTCCCTTGCGTGTCTTTTCACATTTTTCTAGACTCGCGTCAAAAGCGACGCAGGCTGTGATTGGTCCGCTAACTACGTCCTTTACGGAGTCTCACATTTCCGGTTTCATAGCACGATACCGCCATTATTAAAACGAGAGAACGCAATGATTACAAATCAGATTGAAGAGCTTTTGTAGAAGAAATGCGTCAATATGACCACTTCTACAAGCCGTCATTGGCGGACTATGAGGACTTCCACACACAAAGACGTGACTCTCTAGGTCGTCTTCAACAAAAACACGTTGCTCCACCTGTTGTTCTGGAGGTGAATCGCTCTGCAACACACGCAGGACTTTTAGAACCAGGAAGTGAAACGAGTGCGTCGACACGTAAAGACGCAGACTTTACTGTTGTTGTGCTAAGCGGATTTTAATTCTTAGGACTGACGCCCTAGTGGACACCGTGAGACTGACCTGTATTAGCCATAATAAAAAAGTATGATTTACAATGTGGATCCAACATTGAGGTTTTGGTGTTGGTCCTTCTGGGCCTGATGTCTGTATTTTTTTTAAGCACAACGGAGGAGTCGGCCGCTGAGCTCCGATGTTTTCCAGCTCGTCACTGGAGAAAAGGGTTCAGAGGTTGTGAGAGTGAACTTTAAACAGTCAACATGAAACCAAAACGGATGCTAAAACCTTCCGAGAATCTTCAGATGATTCTCTGCTCAGGGTTCAGGCTCATACGTGATGTAATATCATAAACGTTTTATCTCGCGTTTGGATGAAGCAATCAGAGCGCCTCCGTCACGTTGGAGGCCCTGCTCATGTGACCTGGTAGGAGGCTGTCGAGAGCAGGCATGTGAGTAGTGAGAGGCAGGGGGGGGGGGGGCTCACAGCGGTGATTGTTACCAACACACACACACACACACACACACACCTCTCCGGAGGCGGCTCGCTGCTGAGGAACAAAAGGCCTCTTCAGCTGAGAACAGCCCTCCGTCAAAAACACCAGTTCCAGAAGTGGATGAAAGGTGGAGCGAACGCTCCGAAGAAACAGCTGCGTTTCTTCTTCATGGGTTTATGATTCAAAAGCATTACTCCAAATAAGGGACTTGGGGGGCCGGGGGGGGGCTTCATGGTATATAACTAATTCTTCGTCTCCGTCTTCCTCTCCCTCACGCTCACGTTCCCTGTGTAAACGCTAATCCCCACATAATGGTTTTTCTTATCTGGAAAATGCTCCAGTCGCTCCACGCGTGATGGAGGAGCTGATAAATAGTGACCAGTCATAATTATCAGCATGAGGACCGAAAGCCTCACGAAGATTCTCCTGAGACTCGAGATTCCACAGATGATCGGTGGTGGAAACTAAGATCAGATAACATGCTCAGACAAATCACACAAGTAGGTTGTGGAATTTGTTTTTGTTGTTCTTTTATCTTGGAGAAGTTTCATCAGCTTTTTGAGGCCTATTTCCTCTCCCACATTCCGCGACCCGCCACGTTCATCTCGTGAACCCTCTCAAGGGTGCCGCCCCGTGCTTTGGGAACCACTGGGCTACTTTGCTTTGTTTCCAAGAATGTACTTTACTGTTCAGGTCGTCTACATTGTCTTCCTCTCCGCTAGAGGAGACGGATGAGGGGTATTGAGTTATCGCTGGTGATTGTGATGGAGGAACATCACCGTCATGTTTATCTGATAGAAGTTGTTGAGCAATAAAAGACTAATATTCTCAATCCTACTTCATCAAAGAACTGTGGACAGTGATTCATCTGTCGACGCGCGGCGAGCAGTTCTCTTATCAACCCCTTCGGGGTCAGTTTGTTTGTTTGCAGAAGGATGCATTTAAACATAATGTTCCGCGAGAGAAGACGACATGTAATTTCCTTCGCACTCGGTCTTCTGCAGTAATCACGGCGAAGATCTCTGAGGTTTGTTTTTGCTGCTGATGGGCGCCTTCAACCCGGCAGCCAGCGCGGCGTCGGACAAATGGATGCTGATCTCCAAGAAGCCGGACAGAAAGACTTCAAACAGCCCAAAGAACTACAAAGAGACAAATAGACTTCAAACAGACCAAACAACTACAAAGAGACAAATAGACCTCAAACAACTAAAAGAGACAAACAGACTTCAAACAGACCAAACAACTACAAAGAGACAAATAGACTTGAAACAGACCAAACAACTACAAAGAGACAAACAGACTTCAAACAGCCCAAAGAACTACAAAGAGACAAATAGACTTCAAACAGCCCAAACAACTACAAAGAGACAAATAGACTTCAAACAACTAAAAGAGACAAACAGACTTCAAACAGACCAAACAACTACAAAGAGACAAATAGACTTGAAACAGCCCAAAGAACTACAAAGAGACAAATAGACTTCAAACCGACCAAACAACTACAAAGAGACAAATAGACTTCAAACAGACCAAGCAACTACAAAGAGACAAATAGACTTCAAACAACTAAAAGAGACAAATAAAGACTTCAAACAGACCAAACAACTACAAAGAGACAAATAGACTTGAAACAGCCCAAAGAACTACAAAGAGACAAATATACTTCAAACGGACCAAACAACTACAAAGAGACAAATAGACTTCAAACAGACCAAACAACTACAAAGAGACAAATAGACTTCAAACAACTAAAAGAGACAAATAAAGACTTCAAACAGACCAAACAACTACAAAGAGACAAATAGACTTCAAACAGACCAAACAACTACAAAGAGACAAATAAAGACTTCAAACAGACCAAACAACTACCAAGAGACTAATAGACTTCAAACAACTAGAAAGAGACAAATAAAGACTTCAAACAGACCAAACAACTACTAAGAGACAAATAGACTTCAAACAACTAGAAAGAGACAAATAAAGACTTCAAACAGACCAAACAACTACAAAGAGACACATAGACTTCAAACAGACAAGGAACTACAAAGAGACACATAGACTTCAAACAGCTAGAAAGAGACAGACTACAAACAAACCAAGAAACTAGGAAGACACAAATAAATACTTTAAAACAGACTTAAATAATTACCAAGAGATAAATAAAGACTGCATAGACACATAGGTTGACCACATGGAGACATATGAATACACAAAACAACTACATAAAGACATAAAACGGCAGCAAAAAGAGGCTGAATAAATGTGTATGTTGCGCCCGTGTCGGAGAGCTGATGAAGACATGTCTGTCCCCAGCAGCTTGTCGTCCCATCATCCGACATGGTGAAGTCCTCCTTGAGACACCATCCATCTAAAACTCCACGTCCTGTAGACGGTGGTCTTCAAACCCCCCCCCCCGCCACGAATAGAACAACGTCGTCCTTCTCCAGCAACACGTTTGCGTCCCCGTGTGGACGACCCGCAATGAGAGCGGCGGCGACCTCTGACCTTTGGGTAATTACGTCAAAGCGGGAGCCGCGAGGGCGACCTGTTCTGCATTCTTCTCGGTACCCGGCGCCCATTAGAGCATTCATTAAAGACAGCTTAGCCCAGCGAGCCACCAGGAAATCTCATGGCATTAGTCGCCAGCTGCGTTTCCACCAACGCAGACACACACCTGAACCCCCCCGAAGACAGGTTCCATGTTTGTGTGACTAATAGAACACCGGATGGGGGGGGGGGGCAGCCATGTTTCCATCTCTGATGTAACAGGAAAACAACAGACTTCACACAGATTCTCTCATTTTGAAATGTAAATGTCCGTATCCCGGCATGAAAGAAAGAGACAACTTTTCCATATATTTCCAATATAGTTCTTTATGGGAATCATCTGATTTCAGCCTACAAGCGAACGTGGCCGGGCACAGAACAGACGTGTGCTTTAGTAACAAGAATCACAGCATTTTAAACAAAGCTAAGAAACTACAACAAAGCATTTTCTTTTTTTATAAAACATCTTTAGAAAAATATTCCTTTTTTACTGTTCACAGCAGGTTTTTCTTTACTTAAGTGATGTTGGATCTTTGCATGTGAGTCATTCGAAGTAGCTGCATGTTTTCTACATTTTCACTGTTTTTGCCAAACATTTGATCAACACAAGCGACATGTTTGAATCAGAAGCGGACGTCTACGTGATCGCCCCGAGGCGGTTTGAGGCGCGGCCCCGCGGGGCGGTTGTGTCGTCTCGCCCCCCTCAAACGTACTCTGACTGCTTCCGGAAGGACACGTCCGTGCTCATCACCTGGTACCTGCGCTGCGTCCCGGGCTGAGGCTCCACCTGAGCGCGCCAGCGGGAGGAGACCAGGAGGAGCCCGGCCCCCACCAGGAGAACCCCCGCGGCCCAGCCCAGGAACAGGGCCTCGCCGAACTCCCACCGCGGCACCATGTCGGGCACTTTGTCGTCGAAGAAGTGCGCCACGGCCACGTGGGCCACGTAGGACACGGGGATCAGGCACAGCACGCCGGAGGCCACCGCCAGCACCCCTCCCGCCACCATTAGAGTCCTCTTGGCCCCGGAGCCCCCGCCAGCCGTTGACCAGGTGGAGGCCCGGCACGGCCGCCAGCCATTCCCAGCGGCCCCCACGGCAGAGGAAGTTGCACATGAGCCGCGGCCCAGCTTTGAGTAGCCGGCGAGGCCCAGCAGGCTGTCGTAGGCCCGGGCACTCCGGTGGACGCGGACGTCCTGAGAACACGCAGTTCTCCAACAGGGCCCAAGCCCGTAGCTCTCCACGAGCAGCAGAGAGGTGGACATGGTCAGCCACTGGGGCAGGAGGGTGGTGGCCAGCGCGCAGAGCCACGCGCCCACGTAGACAAGCATCCCCAGCAGCTCCAGAGCGCCGTCCCGCGAGTCCATGTCTCCGCGCTTCACTTCTTCTCTTTCTGGTTCAGATGAAGCGCCTCGTTCGAAGCACCCGATCAATAGAGGCTGAGTCTCACAAACAGTTCCCACTCGGAGGAGCACTCTTCTCCTGCAGCCTGCATGGGGGGGGGGGGGGCAGGAGGGTCCCTCCCCTTTACAGTCCTCCTGCTGCCGTGCCAATGAGCTGAGGACCAGCGAGCCACAGGGGCCGAAAAATTAAGCGAGGACAGGATATTATGCATTTGTGTTACGCAACATCGTGTGTGTGCTTTCTTTTTAAAAAGCAGACAAATAAGTGAATGAAAGAAACAAGCTGCTTAATAATCCGTGAGACTCTTTATCACAGCGATAAACTGACACTTTAACAGTTAATTTGTTTGTTGTGTGATAAGATGGCGCAGGAAAGCAGCTCAGTGGGAAGTGTGGTTAATCAGCGGCGATGATAATTGATGATAATAACATCATTGTTATTTTGAACACTTTTTGCCGCATGTGACTGAAACAGAAACCACAGTGTGGCTCATTGTTCGCTCCCATGCGAACGCGGTGGGAAAAGTGATCGTAGGAGGCAACAGATCAAAGCTCTGATGTGACAAAACGTTTCCCAGGCGCACACAGACGCACACAGACGCACACAGACGCACACAGACGCACACACACTCTCAGCCTGAACGCGGCTCAGAACAGACGCGCAAAACACAAATGCAAAGATAAAATCCACGGCTCGCTAAAGTCCTCCTCCTCCTCTAGAGAACAAACTGCTCAGCTGACTGCACTGACGTCACACACACGCACACACACACGCACACACACACACACGCACACACACACACACACACACACACACACACACGCACACAGTCAGGTGTAGCAGTCAGTCTGCAGCTGCTATAAAGCTATGTTCACAAAGTTTATTAACAAAGAACAAAAAAGGGTCTAGAAAATAAACACTAGGCTGAGAAAAGGTTAATTTTCAAAATAAAACAGGAAATCACGAGACAACCTGATTAACTCCGCTTCCTGGACATAACACTCAACTATCAAATGTATACACATATATGTGTATATAAACATACATAGTTATACAAATTTACACAGAGATAAAGGGAATGTACTCATTCCACCTCAAAGTCTTATCGGTGTTGTTCTACTTCCTGTTGGCAAGACAACACCTGGATTACGGTGAAATGTGTGTACGTTATGGATGATGCAGTGATCTCATATATTTGATACTTTCCTTTGTCATTATTTAGTGGATATGAAGGTCTGGAGCACTGTGATCAGTGAGCAAATGAGCCGTTATCTTATGCACAACCACATACAGAACACAACTCCAAACACTGTGGACACATGGGAGTTTATATCTCCATAAATCAGTGAACACTGTCAGATATAAAACAATCTGTCTTCCCCAGGATTCTAATAATACAATGTAGTATAAATGAGTCTGAATGATGAACAAACCTGTAGAAACCTCCAGAATCCAGAGAGGAATGAAGTAAAGTGTGTTGATCAATGAGTGACAACATTTCAACCGTGGTGACAGCGGCAGCGAAGAAGCTGTTCCTGAACCTGCTGGTCCAGAACAAACCGACACGGTGAAGACGGTGATGACTACAGGTGAAGAGGGTCAAAGAATAAAAGAGTAGATATCAACTTGAAACTTCACCAGTTCATAAGAGGAGCATTTATTGAATGTATATATATATATTGGTATTATTATAGTTATAGTCATAATACATATTTCTAATCAGAATATGGCTGGATCAAACAGTGAATGATGAATTCAGTGAAATCATCAGGTTCGTCATTAAATCATCAATATTTCTTATATGTCTGCCTGCCGTCTTTGTTTATAACATTAACAGGAACAGGGCCTCGCCCTGCAGGCCTTAAAAACCGCTTTGACATTTCCTTATTCAATGTTGTACACATAACATCTTCGTATGTATCTGGGCTTATGGAATAGATATAGGGGTCGATGTGGTGCAGGGGGTAGACAGGGGTCAAAGTGTCCCTGAGTAAGACACCTGACCCCTAATTGCTCCCCGGACAAAAATGTATAAAGCCACGAGTTAAAAACGTAATGTAAGTCACTTTGGATAAAAGTGTCAGCTAAATGACCTTTAATGTAATGTAGTATAGATGTTTACTATGCATACGGCACCGATAAACGACGGAATGACACGTTTTGTTTTCTAACCGAGAGACACCGCTCTTCTCGCCGTGTTGTTTGACTCAATACCGATTGTCAATAAAGTTTTGCCACCTTTGTGATGACAGCGGCGTTGCCGCCATTTCTGCTGTGGACACAAGATGGCGCCGGTGTACCACTTTAAAAAGTTTTAGGGGGAGTTGTCCCTTGATTTAGAACCTAACTTTTTGTTTCTGTATCGGTCGTTCGTTTCCACACACCGACATTATAATTACTGAATCTATTCCAACAGGTTATTGGGAAGTTTTGTTACGTCACCCAACAGGTACGTCATCTGACAGCTGAACGGTGACGTGAGTTTACTTTCTTCTTGCTGTCACCTCGCTGCCTCTCCTGTTGTTCTTTAGCCGCCCAAATGGAATCATGGAGGTGACAACTTTAAACAGTTTTAATCATTATTTCATGGAGACGGTGCTTTAATCAAGTGTGAGCGGCGCGCTGTTCCTATTGGACCGCAGCCGCTCGTGTCCGACGGTTTATGCAAATGAGCTCTACCGAATATGGACACGGGGAATGAAATATGGTGGAGGAGGCGAACATGGAGGATCCCAGCGCCGTGAGAGCTCCGCGGTAGAACTCTTATTTTATTTATTTATTTTCGCCCGTGGGGGGGGTGTTTCGAGAAGGACAAACTCGGATGTGCTCCCGGCCGAACTTTGGGGGAAAGTTTTACGCGTTGGTCTCCGTTATTCGCGCCGACGTCGAGTCCGTTGTAATGCAGTGAAGACCCGACTTCTCAAACTCGGGGGTGGTGCTGCTGCTGCTGCCGCTGCCGCTGCTGTGGTGGTGCTGGTGGTGCTGGTGGGGGGACGCGAAGCAGGGCAGAGGGCTCCGGCCGGGCGCACCATCCCGACGCGATGCCGTGGGTCAGCGGCGGGAAGCGGACGGAGAGCGCCGAGCTGCCGCTGCCGGCGGGCTGGGAGGAAGCCCGCGACTACGACGGCAGGCTGTTCTTCATCGACCACAACACCCGGCAGACGTCGTGGATTGACCCCAGAGATAGGTAACGTTACGCCGGAGGCCCGCGAGCAGCCCGCCCGCCGGTTCGTAATTGAACAATAAGTTACAGCAGGGGATCCACAGCAGGGGCGGCGACTTCAGGGCAAGGCCGATTTGTTTGTTTATTTGAGGGGTGGGGGCGGTTAAAGATGTACCCTTTTTTTTTTTTTTAATGTCACTCAAAGTCCCCGGTGGGTCGTGAAAGGCCCCCCCCGGGGGATCAGGTGAGATGGGGCAGCAGGGGAATATCTCTCTTCGCGTTTCTCCTACTTCCCCCCCCCCCATCCAAATTTTTGACAGGTATTTGACATGACATCGAGGCAGCAGCCCTTCCTTTTGTGTGTGTGTCCGTGTGTGTGTGTGTCTGTGTGTGTGTGTGTGTGTGTGTGTGTGCGCGCGCGCGCTTCAGCTGGCTTGTTCACACACTCGTCAGCCTGCTGCTCAAATGTTTTCACTTCAAAAATCATCGCGGCATTTATGACTTCAAGTCCCCTCAAACATCTCTGGCTCACACCTAAAAAAAAAAAACAGCTGATCTATTGTCATATTTTCATACTCCAGTCTCATAATATGGTTAAATTAACCCATTAAATGTGTGTTTCAACAAACAAACAAACAAAAAGGGATTTGAACTACAATTCCCAGAAATCTTTGTGGCAAAAATAAAAAAATGCTTGGAATGCTGGTTGGGCCACTGGGAGAGCTGTGAGGATGTGCTTTTTGTCAGGGACTGATTTTCACCAGCCCAGAAACCTTCTGAGAGATTACTGGGGAATTATAGCACATTTTTGAACTCCGCTGCATTATGGGATGGCTGGAGGGGGGAGCGGGTCTCTTTTTCTGTACTGATTTGAACCAGGGGGAAGGTAGAAGCATGTCATCTAGGTTGGGAAACCTGATTTCCCTGAAGCACCCCTCCTCCCTGCACGTTGATTAACCATTGTTCTGTGACCCTGATGGCAGTTCTACAAGATCTTGCATCTTGTTACTACAAGTAGTAGTAGTGGTGGTGGTGGTGTTTTTTTTTTTTATAATAGGTTTGCATGACTGAGGAATGTCCTCTACGTTCGTTCCGGTGCCGCTCGGTGATTTATGGCGTTATCTCGGCCAGAGGAATGTCTCCTGTCACCGGGCGATGACTGACTCGCCAATAAATCCCAGCGCCTGACTCGCTCCATTCGAACCCACTCAAACCTGGACCGGGACCAGCGTTTAGAGGCGGTAGTTGGGGTTAAAAGAGAACAAGCGTTAGAAGTAGAAGTGATGTTTTCTGTGTCTGACAGCTGTTCTGTTCGTGGTGCGTTGAAGGTTCCTTGTCTGGTCGCGTGTCATTGATTATTCATCAGTAACGTACGCGAGACACGTGGCGGCTTAAAGGCTGCAGATGATGATGATGTAGTGGTTTCAGGTGTGTGAGGGAAGGCAGCTGACGTATTTAGAACATTCTAGAGATGCAGACCTCAATCAATAGTTGTCGGCTTTACAATCAATTGGCAACTATTTTGAAAATGCATTTTTGCCCTAGAGATGAAAGAGATAGTTAAACAACAGATATGCGATTAAGACAGAACATTTTGTACTACAACTCCTTAAATGTTATGTTTGAATACGCAAACGAGGCGTTATGTAATTCTAATTCTAACGTTTAGGGAATTTAAGAGAAAACTGTTTCTCCTCACAGAGAAAAGTTCAAATTCTTTTATTCCAGTTTCTTAAGTGTGAATATTTTCTGGTTTGTTTTCTCGTTTCCGTAAGTCAAGTGAATATATTTACGTTGGGTTTAATTTAATTTTAATTCAATTTGATTAATTCATTTTAATCTAAAAAAACAACAGAAAACGACGCGGCTTCACCATCGTTAGATTTAAGCCAATCGGTTGGACGCTTCATCAATAATCTTCACTTTATTATTATCTTACTATTCGCTGGAATGGAATATATCTTCAGACTGTGATTACTGTGACCCCCCCTCTTCCCGGTGAAGTCGGCCATGGAGGGCGGACGCCTCAGGCGGCTCCCTGCAGGTCTCCAGACCGGTTTCTTTTCCTCCCCGACTGTGGAATGAGCGTTATGTCAGGCATGCCGACACTAATGCCCGGGGGGGGCTGGTGGGGGGGGGGGGTCCGCCCTGGGGCCCCCGACAAAGCAGCAGAACAAAAGCAGTTCCCACGTGTCTGCCTCCTCCTCCGGGCCGTAGCACCTCCTTTATTAACCGTGTTATGCGACAAAACGCCCGCCAGAGAGAGTTCTTTATGCTCGCTCACAAAGCACGCCACATTCAATCATTCTGCTTCCACCACAGAGGGTATTCACATGCGCTGAAACCCGCTGCTATTTTGCTTCCCCAGTGTTTTCATTATGATGGCTTTTTTTTTTTTTTTTCGTGGGGGCGGGAGGGGGGGTGTTAGGAGCACGCCATCGCTTGATTCGGTGTCATTTAAGTCTGTTTAGTCTCTGTTCTCTTTCTTGAGAAGACGCTACGCGGGTCTTCAGCTTCCACCTGGTTCCGGAAGGTCAAACCTCCTTTTTCCGCCTCCCTCTCTTTCTACGTGATTTGCAGCGGTTAAAACTCACGCACTCGGCCCCAAGCAGCGGCGTGGGATGTCGAGTGGCTCGCGATTCACGCGTAGATTGTGAAGAATGCTCCCTGAACAGGACGTGCCGCGCTGCGTGGGACCGGCCTCCACAACACACTCACACTTATTCAGAAAGGGGGAAAAACGTAGCCCACATTCGGAGTGTGAGAATTCTGCTTTTAAAAAAATCTCAAACTGATGCTGCACTGCAGCTGCTTTGAATAGCTTGTTGTCTTATGAATGAAGTATTAGTACACTTTTAACTTTGTGATAAGAAAGAAGATGCTCCTCACTACAAACAGCCGTTCTGACTAGGATGCACTCGGCTCCGCCCCCTAAACAAGCCAAGCCCCTCCCCTGGCGTCCGGGCGCTGTCTCAATGTGAGCGACTATTTCCACAAGATTCGAGTCCCATCGCTGCTCTGAAACGCTCCACGCCAACGACATTCCGCCCACAGTGGTGTTCTGCGAGGACGAGGAGCAGGTGGAGGTCAAAACGGTCGTTTCACACACGCTATTATTTGAATGTAGTCAAAATATATTGAAACTGGATAACTTTAATAGAATAAAGTCATATATTTCATGAATCAATTATTTTAAAAGAAAAGAAATGGACTCGCGCACACAAATATGCTGCTCACGTCATTGACGCAGAAGCATTCCGTTGGACTCACCGGGACGGCACAGATTATTCTACAATTAGAAGATGTCTTCGACAACTAAATATATTTTAGCGAGGCGGCGGCGCATTTCTTTCCTGCACAGCTGAACATGCTCGTCATTCTGTCGGGGTCTCGCGTTCGCTATTTCAGATTTCTGTCTCGGATGCAGAGGATCCCGGAGAAATGTATTAATAATCTCATTCCGACTGCTGGCCGGTCGCAGCCGACCCCACCAGGACAAGTTCACCTATTTATTGCAGTTTAACGATCAAGGTCAAAGAAGGAAATAATCATATTTATGTGGATTAAAACAAATCTCGTTAGTATTAAACAGTTCATGATTTAAGTGAAAACATCGTCACACTTCAGTTTCTCACCAAAACTACATTTAAGGAGTTCATAGTTAGCACTTCAAGCTAACGTTATAATGAACTAGTTTTCCCTGAGCAGAGCCTGAACGCATCGTGATGTGACTGAACTGGTTAGCCGTCAGCGGTGCTGCTAACGTTGTTAGCTCTCCTCCTTGTTCACACTGGGACGAGACAAAACACAAAGTACGTCATGGTCATTGTTTTACTGAACATTGAAATGACGACGGTCAGACTTTTTTTCACACAGTGACGGTTAACGATTGACCGCGTTATTGATCGAGCTGCTACGGATCAATAAGCGCCATCTGGATAGAAGTGATCGCGGGGATAACGGACACAGAAGCTCCTTCTGTTCCTTCAGAGACCGAGACGTTCTGCCGTCACGTGACCAACAAAACCCAACACTCAGAACTGTGAGAGGACGTGTTTTGTGTCATTCTCTTTGACCTTTGACCTCCGACACACACCAGGAGCCGGAGGGGAGTGTGCTGCTGTTTGCTTTGTGCTCGTTTTATTTACCTTTTAAAGAGTAGTTTGTACCCGATGTCAAGAGGTCAACAGCAATTAAACAGACGTTACATTCTGTAGGATAATAATAATAATAAAGAATAGTCCTCAATGTTATTTGATAGTTTCACCTTTAACTTGAATCAAACCCTCTGAGGGGAAAGTTAGTCTAAAAACGATTTTAAGAATTCTGACAACCAACGTTATGTTTGTTCAAACTAAAGTCTGCGTCTGCGTCTTTACGCGTCGACGCGCTGGTTTCACTTCCTGGTTGTAAAGTCCTGCGTGTGTTGCAGAGCGATTCACCTCCAGAACAACAGGTGGAGTCACGTGTTTTGTTGAAGACGACCTGGAGAGTCACGTCTTTGTGTGTGGAAGTCGTTGGTGGCTTTATTTATTGATCATAGACTTTATTGCCCCGTGCATCCACACTGCTGCTCTTCATCACGGACACATTTGTCCCGTATTTTCCTCCACGACTTTGTTCCCTCGTTTGTGGAGATCTCCCTCCATGAATCAGAGGCCGTACGGCGTCCTCATAGTCCGCCAATGACTGCTTGTACAAGCGCTCATATTTACTCACTTCTTCACACAAAAGCTCTTCAGTCTGATCCGTTCTCTCGTCAATATCTTAATAATGTTGGTATTGTGTTATGAACAGAAATGTGAGACTCCGTAAAGGACGTAGCTAGGGGACCAACTTGGCGCTTGGTTGTGTGTTCTTGTTGTCGCTGTGTGTGTATTGGTTGTGTGTTGTTGTCGCTGTGTGTGTATTGGTTGTGTCGTTGGTTGTCGCCTGTGTGTGTAATGGTTGTGCGTTGTTGTCGC